AAGAGTCTACATTAGGTCCACCCAGGCCTGAAGAGGTTTTACAATCCATGTTTTGGGAGTGAACATTGATCAAGAGTCTACATTAGGTCCACCCGGGCCTGAAGGGGTTTTACAATCCATGTTTGGGGGTGAAAATTGATCAAGAGTGCACATTAGGTCCACCCAGGCCTGAAGGGGTTTTACAATCGATGTTTTTTTTGGGGTGAAAATTGATCAAGAGTCTACCTTAGGTCCCACCTTGTTCCTGAAGCTTCCAGTGCCTTGAGGTCCGGACACACAAGTTTCCGGACGCCGCGCTTTGCGCTGAGAACTGCTTTGAGCTGTGGCTTGGTGCATTAGAGGTGCTCTTGGAGACCGTACCTCCAAAGGTTTCCAATCCCCAAACCCTTTTTTTCACCTGAGTGAAGAAACCCTTGACATCATTGACTCTGCAAGAAACCATTGACATGAAGGGTGTCGCTTTTCGGTGGCTGAGGTAATGCTGGCTTTACCAGCCGTAGTTCTTATCTTTTCCGCTGCCTTCGCAGGGGCGCCCAGGGTTTTTCGCCAGGAATGTTGCTGAAGGGACGCCCATCCGCTCCCTGAAATCATTGGTGATGTGGATGCAGCATGGCCCGGTTTTCAGATCAGCATGATTTCAGGGAGTGTCTCCTTTTCGATGTGCAGCAGTGCTGCTAGCAGTGCGGTTTGCAGCAGCAGGCCCCTGGTCCGAGCCGTTTTTCCTGGTCCGAGGTGATTTCCGATGCTGCCAAGATACAAAGCATTTATCCGGCACGTGGATCGACCGAAGGCCTCCCATGTATCGGGCACGTGGAAGAGCACGAGCACGATGCCTTGTTTTCATTTAGAGACGACACACACACACACAGTGTGCCTAGTATGTTTTTGTGTGATAAACTAGATGATCAACACCTCAGATTGCGTTTCTGGCCGCAGGTGGAACCTTCTTGGTGATCTCAGGTTCAGGCTTTATGATGCCTGTGGAGGCAGAACTGCTCCTCTGGTTAGAAGAATCATGTTCGATGGATGGAGAATCCATCCTGAAGCTGCTCGTGCGGCTTCGTCCCCGTTTTTCAACCTCCGTCGAAGGCGAATCCTTGGGATTCACAAGTCGTGTACGTGGGGAGCCCGGTCGAACCCCGACACCCGCCGGTTTCGGTTGAATCAGGTTGGCAGGTTGCTATGTTGGCTGGTCTTGTGAGAGGGTGTGACATGGTCGGGTCTTGGGAGTGCCATCGATTGGTGAGGTTGGCTCTAAAATTTGCAACATCCACGCGCATTACACTTCATCAACACAGATTGCCGGGGCCTTGGCTTCGCCAAGACTCGGCGTCCATTGTTTGGGGTCGACGGGTTCGCTGTGTGGTTTCGGCCTGCAAGGTTTGTCAGACAACTCCACATGACGTAGTAGCTGAAAGCTCTGAGCCGCTGCCTCAGCTCTGCCACCCCCCATACCCCCAGTACTTCGCCAGTACTCCTTCCTTTTGGGACTGCACAGGGGGCTGGTTTTAGGGGGAAGTTCCAGTTGCAGTTTTATTGCCCTGGGCCTTTCCGGGAGTGGGCCTTTCCGGGTCAGCCCCCGAGGTCACTCACTGTCAGTGTACAGATGTTTGGCGGCCTGGGCTTGGTGAAGCCCTCAGTCGACCGGAGACCGGAGACCGTCGGGTGAGTGGCAGTGGAAAGAGACCGGAGAGCGGGCGCGTGGAGCATGGAGGAAGCATGGTGTGGGGACGGTGCAGGCCGGCTATGTTTCAAAAAGCAGTGCGTTTCAGTACCACTGGTACGTCCAAGCCTGAGAGCTGCACCGTTCATGCAAGTGGGCAGGTTTGACTTCGATGTGCCACTCTCTGCCATGAGGACACACCATTGTTCTACTGGTCTGATGGATGGGCCGGCAGGGGGTCCGAGCGACGAGATCAGCCGTGACAGGTGTGGTTTCCTTTTGGGGCACCCCCGACAGGTGAAGCAAGGTGTCCAAGGCCAAGGGTTTCGGCCCTCCCCTCTCTCCCGCGAGGTTTCTGCCTTTCTTTGGAGGTTGGGGGCGGAGGCACCCGGGGGAGCACTCAGGTACTGGAGGAGACATCGTGGCATTTCAAGGCTGCCCCCCCGCGCTCTCGCGGAGTACGTCGGTGCGGGAGTATGTTCCGCAGCGGTGCGGACGACGGATGCTGCACCATCAGGAGATGTATATCCTGGTGCCAGTGTGACCGGACAGTGGGAAACTCGGATGTCTTGGGCGTCTTGCAAACGGCGCTCCCCAGCTGTTTGATCACTCTGAGGTTTGACATCCGCATTGGTGGTGCTCGATGCATTACAAACCAAGAGGCATGGCTTAGCCTAGCGCGGCCCAGCAACGAAAATGTGATCCTCAAACGCCTTCGGGGTGTTCAGCATCTTTTATTTTCAATAGCCACCCCATCACTTGTTTGAACAAAAAGACACGACTATAGACCTTTTTCTGTCCTTTCTTCTTCTTTTTGGTGACCAACGGGTCGGGTTTCCATTGGTTTCAGCCCGTGCGCCGTGCGTGACCTCTTTTGTGCAGACCATGCCCCTGAGCTCGCGGCGACGTGGTGAGGGTCTTGGAGCGAAGAATCGTCGGTTTCAAAGCGCCTCAAAGCTGTCTGGTTGGGTGGATCAAATTACACACATTTTTCTCCACCAGACTTGGAAGACTTGTTGGGCGAAGAATCCTGGTGGATCCACATGATGTTCCACCAAGGCTCTTTGAAGCAAGTCCGCTGCCAACTTCCGGATGATGAGTTGCTACCATCTGGCCACTACAACGTACTTCAGCTGAGTTAGACTGAGAGGTCGGGAGTTAGACTGGAAATTCAACAAAAATCCCTAGAAGTCGAACCACCCTTGTTTTAATCGCCGGGTCATCCCGAACCAGCATTGTTCTACTATAAGGGTTTTACACGACAAAACCATATCATTTTCATCTTTTAAACATGGTCGACTCGACTTCGGGGGAAATCATGATCAGGATCAGGTCACGGGGCGACGCACGGAACTTCCTTCTCGGTCTCGCAGGGGCTCCGAGCGAGATGCTTCCAGCCCCCCGGCCGGCCGAAACCCGAAGGAACAGGCTTGAGCTCTGGAAGTCCAAGGACGGTTTTTGGCCCCACCCAAGAGACTGGAAATTCACCCAAGAAAAGTCCTGGACTCCCAGGGTTCTTTTCGTTTGATGTGGCCATTTCCGTGTCTTTTGGTACCGCCGAAAACCAACCCCGGCCTGCTCCGAGCCCGAAAATGGTGGGTCCCATGTCGCGGGGAAAAAAGGGGCACCGAAGCGAACCTGGCAAAAATTGTTGGTCCAGGACCTTCCCAGTGACCTTTTTGGAGTCCCTAAGTGACCTTTTACACGCCTAAGTGACCTCAAACCAGGGGATCAAAAGGTCACTGGGATCCAGGATCATTTCTCTTATGTTTACTTCATATTTTGGTCAAAGAACCACCAAGCCGGGTCCCCTTGTTCCTTCCGCTTTGGCTCGCATTTGTTCTAACACAACATTGGGATCGACCGTTTGTGGCGCCCACCACTGGCTGGGTGGCCACGCGTCGGGACGTGCTGTGACTAGACGAGGTCACCGTTGCAGTGGGTAGCCGGGAAACTCAGGAGGGGGGCAAGGGGGGGTCGCGAGAGGGCTCTGCCGTGTTGGGGTCACTGCGAAGTCTAAGGCTTGGATCGTGAAGATGGAGACTGCCCCAATGCCTTGTGCTTTCCATACACGGAAGAGCAGGCCTTCCGGACTCCGGGCGCCTCTGAATCCGAACGAAGAGTCTGAGTGTTTTTACTTCATGTGCTCTCAGGCGGGCACTCGGTATGGCTATGGCATGGCTGCCATCGCTTCACCCTTGGCGAATCGTCGTTCATGCGATCCACCGACCGGGGCGGATCGATTGGACCAACACGCCGCGACGGACGTCGGTTCGCCCTCGAGCGTCGTCTCGAGGTTCCACCCGTGACGCATGATTCCATTGGAAAATTGAAGAGGCGCTGCGCCTGTGCTTTCTAAAAGCAACGTAGCACTATATTTTTTGAGCTCTGGAGCTGTACAGTAAGCCTCGTTCTCTCTGGTTCAAAGCTTTGCAGGGTGTGGGGTGGAAATATGGATCTGGAGTAGCTGGGCTGCATCAGTTTGGTGAAGCTGCCGGACCATAAGTGTTAGATCAGGCATGCAATGCCACGGGCGGGCGGGCGGGCGGATGATCGTAGCTTTTAACCTGGATCTACAGGTGTGGTGCAGAACACCAAGAGCTTCAAGAATCGCTACTGTGGTTGTGTCATCTCGGTTCTTACTCAGTTTTGGGGAAGATCAGTGAAGATCAGCAAGGAAAATAGGATGTGATAGTCATAGTCAATTGCGCCATGTCCAAAGCTAACCTGAAAGGAATCGGAAGTCAGGTCGGATCAAACCAAGCAGTGAAAGCGTTCACCTATAGCAGGACTTCAGTTGCAGAGACCTAGAAAAGGGCGAAATCTAGCTTCATGCCTTAGATTCCAAGTTCTCAGCCACCAAAAAGAACGGATCCCAAAAGAGAACCACAATGTCCGAAGATCTCCATGCGATCCCCCCTGCTCCGGTGCTTCGCTTCTCGGATCCGACCGAGAGGGGCACCGGGGCTTTCCTTCTGCGAGAGCTCAAGGACTGGACAGTTGTACCACTACACGATTTACCCCCAGGCCGGCCGACCCGACTCGTCCGTTCGTCCGTTCGTCCGGGACCCCGTGGTCCTCGCCGGTGCGGCGGGCGGGTGTCCCGGCGGCGGCGGTTTTCGCTGGTCGCCGCCCGTGGTGGTTTGGCACCGGCAGGTGACCTCCATCGAGCCAACGGAGGGTGGATGGTATGGCGCGGCCCCGTCGCGAAGGGTTTGTCCGACAGAGCGAGTGACTGCGTCCGTCGTCACTGCGTGAAAGGAGTGTGTTAGACGTTGGTCCGTTTGGGTGGCTTCGATGTCCTTTTTTGCGAATCACAGGTCACAAGGGTGGAGGAATTTGAAAGGATTTCTGATGGGGTTCAAGCTATTTCTTACCTGTGTCGCCTCAGGTGGCAACAACCTGACGCTTCATGGAACTTCGTTTGCTGCCCCAAGCTGAGACTCTTGCAGCTGTTTGTTGGTTGAACATGGTTGAAATCCCCATTGGATGCCCTCCTTGCCCTCCACCTGGGCGGCTTTGTTCCGCCCAACGTGGTCCGCGCACGTGGCCGTTCAACTCGCAGGTGGAGTTGTACGCCAATGCCGTCACAGTGGGCGGCCAACCCTGTGAAGTTCCGCGGCCGAGACGGTCGATGGAGTGGTCAAGACGGTCGAGGTTTGGGTCGAGACGAAAGGGTTGAAATTCACCGGACGGTCGGATGAATGAATAAGGGGTAAACCTTCCACATCCCCCATGTTTTTATTCAATCTTATTCATATTAATTGAATATATTCATCATAGGTCGACACTAGGCTTGATTGTTTTGTTGTTTGCTTGCTTTGTCTTGTACAGGTCCTGCTCCGTGATTCTGAGGTGCTTGAGGCTTCATTGAACAAGCTCGTGCTGGGATCTCGGATAATCCGACCGGCGTTCATGCAGCCAACATGTTCTGGTCGCACGCCAGGTCACCACCATGAGAGTCATTCACCTGGGAGTCATCACCCCACCTGGGAGTCATCATCCACCACTACCATATAGGGTTAAAATGAGTCCTTTTACTGGGCTTTCACGGCTGCACAGGTGTCGAGTGGGGAGCTGGCAGGGTGCCGCTCGCAAAGGCCATTCCATGCGCGGGCTGGGGACTTAGATGGCATCGCGAGCTGAATCGAGAATATGTATATATATATATAGATATATTTTCATTTTTTGGAGATGAACTTGAGAGATTAGCGAAACCACAGGGCGGAATGTGGGCCCGGAATGTGAAAATTAAGCCTCCGGTCGAGGGCGGGAAAGCCATGAAGTCATGAGACAGCTGGAAGTAGCTGTTGAACAACCAAGTTGTTGAGACACGTGTGGATTCTTTTGGTTGATTGATAGGGTCTCTCTAGGAAAGCGGCAGCCCAGGCTGAGGAACGCCGGATACTCCAGCCGGCGACGAGTGCGCCGGAAGAATTCTTGAAATCTTCTGAAGATCATTTTTCCGGGGGAGTTCAATTGTTTTGACAGACGTCATGCCCATTCTCTTGCAAGTTGTTTGGCAGTTGTCCTACGGCATTTCGTCCGTGCCTGCTGAAGAGGCACCAAGCCTGGGAACATCGTGCCTCTTTCTTGTTGACCACGGTGTTTTTTGGGGTTGAGGATTTTGGCGCTTGGGAGGCTCGAGAGTTGTTGTACCAGAACTTTTACAAGGCGGGACAAAGCAGATCGATTCACCGCGTCTCGCGTCTCTCGGAGCTTCGGACCTCCGCCGCGGGCGCGGCGCGGTGGGAGCTCCGCGCGGAGCGCCGCGTCGCGTCGGTGTGAGCTCCGGCGGCAGGGCAGCTTGGATGCCTTGGACTCGGAGTTTCCCGGCGATATGGATACCTTGGTCCGGAGTCTCAACGTCAGACGCCATGAGGATGAGGTGGGGCAGAGATGGCAATGAGTTTTAACATGAAAACAAGCACACAACACACGGACATCACATTATCATGATGATGATGGCAATGATGATGGCGATGATGATGATGATGATGATGATGATGATGATGATGATGATGATGATGATGATGATGAGGATGAGGATGAGGATGATGATGATGATGATGATGATGATGATGATGATGATGATGATAGTAATATTACCATGTTTCATCAAAACATGCGTACACATGAAATTAAATGGGGGGAAACGATGATGCGTGTTTTTTCTCCCCCTTTGCTGGGAGTCGAACCTGTAGAGATCTGTAGAGTGTGGTACGGAGCTTACAGCCATCCAAGTGCGGTATGCAAAAGCCGTGCTTTTTGGGATTTGTTGGATCTTTGATGGTTTAGTGCAGCCTACCAGAAATGGAAAAACAATGGATCTTTGTTGATCTTGATTGGGTTTGATTCACCCTGACTCGCAATGCAGAGCTGGATTGGATTGTGCCGCATGCACTGAACGCCGACCAGCGAATGACATGGTCTTTTAGATGATTTAAAGCTGAGGGTGACCACCGGATGCGGGAACTCACCGGCTATTTCGTCCGAAGACTCAGCAGTACACAGTAGATCTTTGATGCCTGTCGCTGCACCGCTGGATGGTTCACAATCGATCGGTCGAAGCGACTCAGGTGCCTCCGTTGACTGCCAGCTATTCGTTCTACATCTGTGGTCCGAGTAGCCCAGAGATCCGGCGCCTCCCGCAGAGATTGACGTCCACGGCGCTCCAGACGGTTCGACTCAGGGGATGACCAGAGCTCCATCGAGCGGCGAGCTCAGTGTGGATCTCGCGAGCTCGACTCAAGCTTGCAGAAGGTTCTGAACCCAGACCATTGGGACTGGCATGTTTACCTACATACATCAATGTCAATGTATGTAAAAATGCCATACATCCATGGATGGTGTGGGCAAGGTTCTGAAGGTTCGCACTGCACTGCACTACTCACACACACTCTCTCTCTCTCTCTCTCTTGTTTTGCCGGCCCAGGATCGGGAGCACACAAGGTGCACCCAATGAAACGCTTCAGATCATGGCCAGCCACGACACCTGGGCGCGGAGACACAGCGGTCGCATCGCGTGGCGCCGAAGAGTGGTCTGGGGCCGCGTGGGGCCGGGAGAGTCGATGGTGAGTACGGCTTCCGAGGTGACCAGCGGGGAGTACGCTCATACGAACCCCCATTGCTGGCCTGGTCCTCAGAGCCACCGCGGAGCTGTGCCTCTTTGCGCCAGAGCTGGGACTGCAGGTACTATCGTGAAGACCTTCAAAGCCTACCTGATTTATCAGGACACGCCACAGACTTCCTTTATCTCCCACATCAGTGCTTTGCACGGTTCTTTTTTGCTTTTGACTCGTGTGTAGAGCTATCCCAGTGTTCTGGGCATGAGAGGCCTTTTGCTTCTGCTTGTTTACGTGGCAAGGGACGAAAAGACTGGGTCCGTCTCTTCAAATGGCAAAAGATCCAGGAACGCCTCGACAGCTCTTTTTTCGTGGGGCCCTTTTTTGTCGGGCATGTCGTGGAGTGCTATTACATGAGAGCTCGTTTTTGCAGTACCGAAGACCAAAAAGAAATAAAAAGGAAAAGGCTTAGAGCTTAGAAGACAGCCGCAGCCAAAGCGAGGTGCCCAGCCCCCCCGCCATCTCGCAAGCATTAAGGAGCAGGCTATCACCAACCACGGCAACTGAGTGCCTCTTTAGACTGTAGAGGACGACGGTGTTGCACATGTCCACGCCGAGCCTTGTCAGGACCCACCAAGAAGGTCTCCGAACCCCTTTTCCTGCAAGCAGGGATGTCAACATCTCAGCAGGGTTCGAAGCAAAACACCCCAGTCGTGCATGTTCTTCTGCCGTGAACAGAAGGGGGTGTTCATGTTGAGGAGCCCATAACTGGATCTTCCAACTGCGCAACATTTCTATGGATGAAAAGACAGAGATTCAAGGCATGATCCAGTTGGGAGGCTTGATTGCCATTGGTCCTTGTGCCCCAGCTTACTGTAGCTATTGAAGTTCAAGAATGGAACTCTTGTTCGAATGTCGGTCTCCTTGCCATGGACACAACGGGGACGCCGCGCATCGCTCTCACGGGGTCCGACTCAAACCAAGTTGTCTGGTCTCTGGCAAGCATCGCGCTCTGCCACCTTAGCGCAAAATGACTTGGCCTTCAGCGCGGTCTCCGTGCAATTGCCGCTTTTAAGTACCGAGATATCGAGTTCGGTTCATGCCTCAAAGGCCTTTGTGCGAGGCACTGCGCATGCAAGCACCCACAATGGCATCAAGCTGGTCTCCAACGAACGGAGGAAAAATCTCTTGGCCACCGTGGAAGATGGGGTTCAGTATGCTGAAACCTTCAAAGCAGCTTGCAAGCGCAAGTATGGCAACATGTGTCGAGCCTGGAGAATTCTATTGAATCCTGGCGGCAACGGCCGTGTGTCCTTTGTTCCCTTCTGCAACGCTGCGCGGTCCATGGGATTCGTCAACGTGTCCACGCGCCCTGGCTCGACCGTCGCGAGGGCGAGCACTGCGAGCTGCGGAGCATGGGGCGACGAACGGGCACAGGGAGAAAGGGGAACCAGGGGCACACCTACGGGTTTCCCGATGCTGGGGTCCAGTTTTTTCTAATTTTTCTTACTTTTTTCCGTCTACTGACCAGCTTTTTGATATGATCTCCATGTATAACAGGTTTTTAATTAATTGCTAAGACGTGTGCACCACCCACGGCTTTTTCTTGCTTTCTCCGGACGATGCGCCACCCAGGCTCTGGCGTCACCTGGATGTGAAATCCAGCGGCTTCATCACGCTGGACAACTGGGATCCGCACGCGTATCGGGTCTTGATGGAGTTCCGGGAGAGTCTTGGGCTGTGATGTCGGTCCGGCGGCAGAGGGGAAGGGCGAATCATTTTGAGGCACAAGAAGTCCTGGTTTGGACGGGATGGGATTTGACTTCGAGAGGAGCAATGCATCGTCGTGCTTGTGTTGTAGACTCTCGCTATTTCAACCTTCCATACGAAGAGGTGGAAGCACTCCATGTCTGGGGGGGGATCCAGTCTCATCGTCCGTTCGTCTCGGTCCTTTCGTCTCCCGCACCTCGGCACGGTCCTTTCGTCCTCATCTCGGTCCGAGTCTCATGACCGAACGAGCCGAGCCCGGTGGGTGGCGAGGATCTGCAGGTCGGAGTTTGGTGGCCTCTCGGAAGCCTTTCGCTTCGGCATGAATAAGAGCGGCTCCGGTGCATGCTCCTGGGGCGAACATTTGGGATGTGGGATGCGGCGATGGATGTGGGACTTCCGGCTTTGGTGCAAGTGACGAATCCGGACAGTTTCTGTCCTCGCGGCCGAAACATGCGGAACCTGACTCGGACGGTCAGGAAGTGCAGAACTCAAGAGTCTTGAGTAGTGGAAGGGAAGACCAGGGGCCATGTTCCACTTCCATTAGTATTTCAGGGAATGTAGTCCTTTGTAAATCCTTTGTACTGCGACTGAATACGGCATCGATTTCCATGTTGTCCCATCATCAATGCAATAAATCACTGCCTGTTTGGAACTTTGCCAGCCTTTTTTTCCCTTCAAGTGAGATCGTTTGAGCTGCTTTCTCTGCCTCCTCTTGAAACCACAACATGGCGCTCCCTCTATTGGTCAGCCATTCTCCAGCTGAATTGACCAGTTGATGGCACAACATCTTAGGGGGTGTCGAGGTTCATTCAGATGGCTCATGATCTTTTTCAGCATCTGGATCAAACTTTCGCCGCAGCATCTGGATGTTCATGTTCATGCGCGCGCGCGCGGGTGTGGGAGCGTTGTTCCATCACACATACACCGTCTCTTCCGTGTGACCCGCACGGTCGGCAGTGCAGTCCGCATCACGTCTGCAAGCACCGAACGACCTCATGCTGCACATGCCAGTCGAAATGGACACCACATGCCAGGACGAATTCTAGGTGTTGGAAGAGGGAGACGCTCTAACACTCACCGGGAACAAAGTCGTATTCAGAAACTGCATTGTATTCAGAAACTATAGTCTTCAGAAACTATTGCGTCGTATTCAGAAACATTTTTTGCATTCAGAAACTCTTTCGTTGTATTCAGAAACGATTTCGTTGTAACCGTGACCAATCAATGGGGGTCTTTCGTTCTTTCGTCCGATCTGGACATCGTCCAAGCGGCCACGGCGCAACAGCCAAGGCTACAGGCCGGAGTTCGACCAGTTTCTAGCTGACTTCGAGTTCGCTGGTGACAACCAAGTGTTGTGGGATGCCTTGGACAAGGATGGTGGTGGCTTCATCACTGCGCCACGGCGGTTCAACATGACGAAAAGAAAGGACAATGTGTCTATCAAGAATAGATAGGGAGACCTCCGAAAGTGTCCAAAGACTCCCCTTTCCAGGTACGGGAACTGGACCACCCTCCCCACCCATCGTGCACCCTCGGCCTTTAGCGACGCTTTAGCGGGCCTCCCCACCCCACCCGCCCGCGGCTCCGCGCCGGCTCCGCGGCGAGGTGGATGAGTTGCACTTCCTGTCGCGCTGGGAAGGCCAGCGCTTCCGCTCCGTCCAGGCCGGAGTCCGAAGCGGAGGAACTGGGAGGAACTGGGAGGAACTGGGAGGAACTGGGAGGAACGGAAGTGGGAGGAACTGGCGGAGTGTGAAGGTGGAGCGGGAGCTCAGGAGTTTTGGGGCGTGAAAAGCTGGGTTGGAGTTTCCTGAAGCCACCCTTGGTGTTTGGTTGTTTTGGAGTGGGGAGAGATTCTGGACCGGAGCCTGGACTGATCCATTGGCATTCTTTTCAGTCGGGATTTCAGAATTTTGCTTGGACACGGTGTCTTTTTCTTTGGAGCCTAGAAGCCATTTGGATCCTACGAAGTAGAGGAATTTGGTCAACTTCCAAGAACAGGTCACCTATACCAGCACCGAACCCAAGAGGTCTCCGACAAAGGCCCTGTCTCAGCTTTCAATTGGTGGCCGAACGTCGAACCGCCTCGGTCGAGGGGTCGAACGCACTGCACCATGGCTTTCGGCCGGAACGCACCGGACGCAGGTGGAGCGGGACTTCAACTTGGGCCTGGCGAGGTTGAACATTTGCAAGCAAAACCGCCAGAAGCATCAAGACAGGACTGAAGCATCCGACAGAAATCCTCTTGGGTCAACCCCTTGTGTTGGGACAGCATCCAGAGGCGAGAAATGGGATTGGTTGGATATGGTTGAGTGGGTTTCGGACGAGGGAAGCAGCAAGACTGGGCCAACCGGTGAACCAGAGCTGACACTGATCAAATCGGTTAAGCACGCTAGCAAGCAGTCGAGGGTTCTGGATCAAACACAGCGAGGATGAATGAATTCAAAGCTCGAGTCAAAGACGAACAAGAAGTCTTGGCGTCTTGCCTTCACTGCATGGTTTGGTGAACTGAAACATCATTTTTTGATGGTTCAGAAAGACATGTCGTGAGGAGCTCCTTTATGTTTAGCTTTGTCACATTTGTTGTTTCGTGAGTCACTGTAAGGCGCGCAATTCCACACAAGGGCAGATGCATGAGTGTTTTTTGCTTGAAGCAATGTACGTGTTTGTGAGTTTTTCATGCGGTGGATCACTTTGGTGAGGAACGGAATCAAAGCAAACGCGCAGTCACTGTAAAGCAGTCTGTACTGTTGCTGCAAGCCCCTTGGATTTTCGAAGCCAGATCTTTCTAACTTTTTCTTTTTTGCAGTGCTAGGCTTGGGGTAGGATCTCTTCTGTATGACAGTTGAGACAGTGTATGGAAATTCCTATACAATTGAGTCAGTTGAAACTGTGCTCGAAGGACTTGGCGTTGAGCTTGCTCAGCACCTTTCACCTTTCGATTGTGCAAGAATACAAGCTGCGACCATTGTACTGGACGGTTGTGTTGTACTTCCACTCGAATTGAACCCCCAGAGTTTGCGTCCCAACCATCCTTTTGGGGGAGCTCCTCACATCGCAGCTGCGAGAACCGGGATAGCCCAGCGTGGCAGGTGGGCCATATATTGAGCAATATTCGGACGCAAAAAACAGTGGAGGCCATTTCTCCAGTAGGTTGGAGGCCTTTGGCCTTCTTCCGTAACATCGTAACACGATATGAATGCTTTGCCATGGTAGATTTCGGGTTGTCTTTTTTGGGGGAGCTGGGCCGCCGGCGAGATTTTCCGCCTCCGGCTCAGAGGCTCAGAGGTCCGGCGCCCAAGCTGCACGTCCAAGGATACGCTGCTGCAAGAGCACCCGGCAGCAGGTGATAGTGATGATGAGCTTGAGGCGAGAGCCAATTGGCATTTTGGCACAGATGATTGCACTCTATAGTTGGCCCCCAAGCCTGCATCCTCAAAGGGATCCGAGTGCAGCTCCCGATTTGAGATAGTTGGTCTGTTTGGTGCCGGTGTGCCTGTCTTAGGCTGGTTTGACAATTTGGTTGTCAGCTGTTTGCTTGCTGATGTTTGCTTGACCTACTTTGCAAATACTCTTCACAGAGTGATTTGGTGCATTTTTCAAAGCAGCCAGATGAGGGTTGCTCCTCGTTAAACGAGGAGGCGCTTTTCATTTCCAGATGCTCGTGTAGCGTGCGAAAGAAAAATAGGATCAAGATGGCATCTCACGGCAAGAAGATGGGTAGAGAGACTACCAACCAACAGGGTTTTTGGTATTGTTTCCTTCTTTTAGGGCGACTTTTTGTGTTTTTTGAAGATGCATGCGCACACATGTAGATTCCTAGAACCATCAGCGTAAGTCATATATTATATTGGTGTTTGGCGTACCAGAACATCGCCGAAGAAGAAGAAGAAGAAGCAGAAGAAGCAGGGGGGGCCTCCCCATGTCACATTGCCATCTTGGTCTCGTTCCACTTGCCAGCTTCTTTTTTCACGGTTTTCTAAAGAACATTCTTTTAGTCACCGGGTGTCCTGGTGGTTTCGGGTACTCTGATCGCTGTTGAACACCCCTCCTGTCCTCGTCCCCAGTTCGGAGCTTCGAGACAGTCATCGGCCATGCATTCCCTTTGCGTCTGCAGATGGTATTAGTAAGAATGCTCCTAGTAGCGGTGCCAGGAGCCCAGTAGTTTCTAAGTTGCGGATTCGACCGAGGCGATATCCCTTCCGCTTGAGGAACATCGGCTACGGAGGCCCTGGGGGGCCACCCGACGCGGGAAGTGGGCGGCGATTTTGGGCCTGGTTCCTGATGGGCCTCTGTCTGGCAGTGCTTCTGTCCCGCGGCAGGATGGAATTGGTTCCGGACTGGCATCAAGGCTGGATGGGATTGGAACAGAAGGTTCTAGATCTTCTAGAGCCCCTATTTTCAGATCTAAACGACCAAAGAAGCTGTTGAGGTTGTCGCAGGTCGTCGGCCGGTCGCAGGTCAAGCCTCTTTGGCTCAGAAGTTCCTGCCATCTATCCATATCTAACCCATTTCCAAGCCCCGGACTGAAGTGCTTGGGTTTCAGCTGCGAGTTTCACAGGTGGCTGGACTCAACTCGGCTGTGACGGTCTGGGGGCTTAGTGAACGAGCTGAAGCAGCGCCAGCGCTTGCGCTGCGCGTGTTGCGGGGATGGGGCGGGTTGGGAAGCTTTCGAGGTTTGCGTGGGTCAAGAAAGCTCGAGAAGGGTCTTCGAAGACGTGCTAGAGACGTTTTACTGGGGTTTGGATGCACAGCCATAGTCGCTCGTGTGAATGATATAGATAATCATCCTCAGATTCCCATCCCAAGATATCATCCCTTCGATGGACATCATCCTCATACCACCAATCACGTGGACTTACCCAACCCCGCTCGTGTTTTCTTCCGTCCGACTCCGCCCTGCCTTCAGCGAATCGTTCAAGGCAGAGGGAAGCACACTGTCCTCAAACCAGGCTGGGCTTGGTCCCATGATATATATATATATATGCATACCTGGACCTTCCAACGACATGCTTTTCATCCATAAAACCAGCCAAGTTCCGCAGACAACATGTTTGACTTGCTGCATTTGACAGCCGTTCGACGTGCTCCACCGATTTCCAGACCTACCCCGGGCGGCTGAGCGCCTTGTCACGCGCGCGTTTTGCCTGGCAGGTGCAACATATGACGGCGGTGTTCCCCTCCATGGAAGTTCAGGCCACTTTGTTTTCTCATGCGGATCTTTAGCGACCAGGACCTTCAAAGTGACCTTTCGAGATCCTAAAATGAGGTCACTTAGTCCCTAAAGAGGTCACTTAGAGACTGCAAAGAGGTCACGAACTGAAGGTCCTGGGATGTTGACTCGGCCTGGCGGAGCACCTTCGCCCCCCCGAGCTTCGGGGGGGCTCTCTCTGGGGCGGCCTGGGGATTGCCTTCAGGCCATTCGTCTTCGGGCAGATGGAGTCCTTCGAGAGAAGCATTACGTCCGGAGACCCGGGCCATCTCGGGACCCCCCTCTGGGTCCCAGGGTGCCGCGCCCCCCTGTTCGGTTTTGGTGAGGTGTTTTTTTCCAACACGTTGGAGCGCTTGGACTCCAGAACCCCGCCGCTTTGGACCTGAAAGGGATTGGGAGGGTGTCTGACCTGCGAAAGGTGTCCAAGGATTCTTAACCGGGTGAACACTTGCCCCAACCTCTGTGCATCCCTCAGATCGAGATCGCGGATGTCACGCAGCCGGGTAGCTTCCGGATCCGTGTGGTGCTTATGGAGCTTAAGTTGGATGACATTTTGCAAACGTTATGATGAGTTGCGTGGTCTTTGACATGTCTTGTCTTCAAATGCGTTTGACAGCGTCTGGTGTCTTCACGTTTGGTGCCTCAGGTATGACTGCGCAAAGGGGCCAGGACGGTGCTCGCTAGATGGAACGAAGAAGTTTGTTGGTTCTCTGCGCTAACGCTTTGCGCAGGAAGCTAGCATGTCCTTCTCCAATGCCGTGGATCCAGGAACCATCAGGCCTCGACAAAAAGTCCCCGAGAGTCTTTGAAGGTGGAGGGTGGTCAGAGATATTTCGAAACAGTTGGAGATGCTCCGATGTTCACCTTGTGGTCAGGCCCTTCGACTTGGGGAAAACAAAAGAAACCGTTGTCCCTGTTGTTCATTTGAGTGCGTAGGTTCACGCAGCGAAAACACCTTTGCTGTTGCATATATACTTCTTAGGCAAACAAGTTGGCCGCAGCAAAGATGTTTCGGTGCTTTAGAATCTGCCGAATCTGCCAGGGACGGTGTTCAAGATGCCAATGCTCAGAGCTCAGCTGGTGACGAGTCACGTTTGAGCCGTGAAGACGAATGGAAAGGGCGAGCCGCGGAAGGACAGGCGCAGCTTTGCAACAGCCGGTGAGTGGCCTTGTGAGGTCATCATAGCTGGTGAGGAGCCTTACAGGCAGGACGTGTAACGTCGTGTCACACCTGGCATGGCGCTCGCTCTTTTCTTGTGAGATGTTGTAAATCAATGCGAAAAAGATACCAGGACCCTCCAAGGGGTGTCCATTAACCACCCCTTGAGGGTGCTGGTACATTTTGTCCATGATGTGTGGTAGGCTCCATGCTTGCCGAAGCGTGAGCGTTGAGACCACCGAGACTGGTACTGCACGCCGCTTCACACTCACTTTCAATTGCCCTTTGGAGGCGGGTGGGTGGCGTTCGTTGATGCGTTCGTTGGCGCAGAGGTACCAGCAGTCACAAAGGGGTGGTTTTTAGTCCCTAAGTGAGTGGATAATGGGCATCCCTATCCTCCAATAGGCACCGCTTTTGTGACTACTGCTGGTAGGATACTTTTCATTGATTGTAGTTCTGGGTTGGGAAGCGCAACACCTGGAAGGTGTTGTGCCTTTTTCTTAGAGTCGGGGGTGTTTTTGGGCAATGCCGGCACTGCAGGTTGACACCACCAAGTGGCTTTCGCAGGGATCTCAGTGAGTGAAAATGGTCGGAAAGGGATTCTGTCTGTAGACCTGTTGATGAATCAACTACTCGATCATGAACAAACAGGTTCTACAATCCCAAGTCCGTGGGGGTTCTATTGATCAACCAGTCTATTGATCAATGGCCACCAGGTCACGGGTCGTGCCGGTGCGCACGGAGAACGGGTCGAACGGAACTGCTCAGCTCGGTGCCTCGGTGCCGAGGATTGAGATCGTCAGTGCCGGAATGGGTGCGGCAACGGCTGGTTTGCTGCAACAGGTGGAGCGCGTGCGTCTCCGCGGACATGTCAGACCCGTCTCGCGCGGGAAGTCTCGCGGGCTTCCGCGAGTCCAACACCTGCGCGAGTACGTGGAGTACGAAGCCTGCGCGAGGCCAGTGCGCCCTTGTCTGGCACCTTCATTGTGGGCCACACGGGCACTTGGAGTGCTCCAATTGAGGCGGGGCTTCATGCCCCACTCCGGGAGCCAAATATTTTTTTTGGAAGTTATGCTGCGTGCGCAAGGGAAATGGTTGAGAGAAGGGAATGGCCAAGATTCTTCACGCTAAGGGCAGTTTCTCTTGAAGATTGAACACCTCGAAAGTAGCTCCCGGTGTCAACCAGACTCAAACCAAAACGCGAGACAACTTGCTACAGTCTGAGGCGCGGCAATCGACCACCAGCTGGACCTATTTGACCGAGCAGATTTCCAGCCTCAGGCTGGCTGCGTAGCACGATGCTCCCAAGAAAAGGACCCTCCAGGAGTCCAAGACTACTGTACTATAGAATATATACAAAGAGAAATAGTCTGCCTGTAGGTCCTTTCCTCCAGAATTGCCGTCTACTTTCAGTGCCTTCAGATGGTCTTCCCTGGACCGTAGGGACCCAGTGCTACGAATCCGGTCTTGGAGGGATTCGTTGTTGACCAAGTCTGGGGGGGCCTTTTTTGTCATTCATAGGAGGGGGGACAGGAGCCCACCCTCCATATGGTGCTAGGATGTGGCAGCCCAGAGAATGCCCAAATCCTCAAATGGCTGTGGGTCAAAACGCGGGAGCTCCAAAACTCTGGTAGGTTGACCTCCGTAGCAGTCTATTCTATTCCCAGACACTCCATGCAAATATATACCTACATTGACCCCTCAAACCACCCCAATGTAGGCATATATGGCAGTCCCATGGAGTGTCTGGGATTCATTGTCAGTGGGTTCTGGAGCGCTTTGGCCCAGAACCGATGCTTCTCCTTCCTTTGCTTCCAGGCGAACCGTCGATGCGGATGGTCAATTGGAGTTGGAGCCGGGGGCCCCTTGCAGGTGGCTCCGCGGCGGTGCCAGGAGCCACCAGCTGCGTATGACGCAGACGTTTAAAAGATCAAACCCACCTTCCAGAATGGGTGTGCATCTCCCATCTCGGGTGGGTTTTATAAAGGAATTGGTTCATTTTTCAAGGGGTCCACCAGCATGTCCGGGGGTTTGAACTTCTTCTCTTATCTAGTCCAAAGACTCCACTCCACTCTCCACCGAACACGGCTTCCAAGGTGCTGGAGGCATCCAGATGGATGGGCCAACGGTACCGCGCCCGGGTTCCACCCGGCCCTCCCGCCCCCCTGCACCGGGCCCGGCCAGGCGAGGCGTTCCAGGTGCTCGTGCGCTTCCGCCGGCCCCTGGGAGACGTGGCCTTGCTGGAAGTCAACGGCACAGGAGCGGAGCGGGCACCGTTGGAACCCGCGCGCGCGGCCGGGTTCGGAGGCGGTGGGGTTCGGACGCCCGAACACGGACGGCAAACTGGGTGGCCCAAGAGGATGTGGAAGCTGAGGGGGGAAGCAAGCAGACCCAAACCTGAGAACGGTGGAATGGGTCAGACAAAAAGGGTGGAATCGGGGAAGACACCGAAGAATGCCTCTCACCATCCCTTTTTGGTCTTCCGTCGCCTTGGTTCGGAGCCCATTGAACCTCCATTTTTGGACCACCAACCACCCCCCAAAATCGGATCTTTCAAAGATCCTATCAAAACAGAGGTCGCTCAGGCTCGTTCGGGGGTTCTTTGTAGGGGTGTCTTGCCTTCGCTGTCCAGACACGATGATGGGCACCGGCTTCACCCTGGAGGCACCGGGGCGTCTCCTGCGGCTGCGTACACATCGGTTCCGAACACGATCGATGGAGGTCTACCCGGTGGAGGATGGGGATTCCAATGCCATCTTCCTGGAACGGGCTGGCAGCTAAGGGCTGGGAAGTGCGATCGCACCACCAGGGCTTTCATAGATTTCATGGATAGTTTGAGCGAGGACTCAGCTCTGTTGAAGTTCACTTGTGAAGCATTTGGAAGGGTCCTTCCTCCTCAACGGGATGGCTCACATGAAAAAGACTAAGGTGCCTGCAGATCTCTTTGAGGCTGGCTTTGTAGGAAGCTGGCTTAGCAAGTACAGTTTCATTGTTGCCAGTTCTGGTAGCTGTGAACGCTCAGAATTATTTTGTTCAGGTGCCAGATCCAAGTGATGCAGATGTTCAGCCCGTCCGCGTGGTGTCAAATGGAGTCGTTGGTGGAATAGGCGGCAGCAACGTTTTAGGTCAGCATCCCAGAAAACCTGTGAAGGACATGATGAATCACACGGGGTTGTGAGTCAATGCCTGGAGCCCTATACCCTGGTGGGGAGCCACATCCCTGGTACATCCTGGTAGATCTATATATTCTGTTCATTTTCGGTGGTCAACTAGGGTCCGGTTCTGACCCACAACCTTACGGCTGTGGATCAAAACCACCGACCGGTTGACCGACCGGTTGACCTACCGAGTCCGTGACGTGCGGACTCTGACGCCTTTGACGCTTCCCACGCTTCCCACAGCACCTTTCAGTGGGTACCGGGGAGTATGGGTAAGTATCACACAAGCATGCAACAAAAACTCTACAATGTTCGAGACTACCACTATGTAGGTGAGACCGAATATCCGCTTTGCACGAATGGCTGTGGTTGTAGTCCAAGTGGGAAGCAAGAAAAGAAAGAACCAATTCGGTGGGGGTGGTATTGGCACCTACCTGGAAGGTCAACCTACATGGTGTTGGGGCTCCAGGTTTTGACCCACAACCCATACAATCACATGATTGTAAGGGAAAGGCTGGTTGTTTGGCTCAGGTTACAAGTACTCCATCAGCATGGTCCCCGTTCTTCTCAGCGCCACGCCCACCGTCGTGGATGCGAATGGCACGGTGTGCAGGGCTCAGAGTTCTTCCCAGACCGTCCATGGCACATTGACGTTCCCTACATTGGGGTGGTTTCAAGGGTCAATGTACGTGAATATGCCATACATGGATGGTCTGGGTTTGGATGTACATCTTTTCGCATGTTCCACCAAGCGAGGAGAGGAGTGTGTTGGTGACGACGGCTTAGGACCTTGGTGGTAAGCAACATCACAGCCTATGATGCGAACAACGCAAATTGGACACAGGATCATTGACAGCAAGCAGGCTTTGGCTGTATATATATATATATAGATGATTCGGTGGCAGCTCTGCAAGGACCTTCAAGTTGTGCTCGGCGATGGCGCTGGATTTTGTCAGGACAGGCAATTTCAATGCACATCCAGAAAGGATATATTAACAAAAGTGTAAGCGATATGGTGCAGCACAGGCCGTTCGCTGTGCCACAACATGTTAATCGATCCAGATACTTGATACTCTCCCTCTGACGGTGGACGTAGGTAGCCCTTTGTCTCCGTAAGAATGCCACGTGGAAACGCACGCACTGCTTGCCACAGCAAAGTCGCCGGTGACCCGTTGCGCCCATAGGCCAGGAGGTTTGCATTGATGGTAGTCACCCTGTAGCGTTGAAGTGCACAGGAATGAGTGCTGCTAGATATATTTGTTTGCCGCACTGTATAAGTGTGATACAGTAGAACATTTCATGATAATTGCACTCTGCCACAATGCACGCTGTCATTGTAGGGTTTCTTGTGTTGTTTGCGTTTCTGTTCCTTCTTCTTCTTCTTCTTCCATGGCAGAATCCCTTGCAGATGTTGAAAACGAGAGACTCCGGACCTCGATGCAAAAGCCGCAAAAGCCCCACAGACTTTTCTCGGGTCTCTTTCCGCTCGGGCAACCTCACGGCCCAACCTGCGCTCCCTGTTGGACGATCATGATGATCATGTTCCGAAGAGCAACGATCATGGTGGTGAGCATCCTTTCTTCGTTGAACGGTCCACCCGACCAGCTTCCCACCCTTTCCATGCTCGAAGCATGCATCCCGTTGGGCCCTTTGACGTCTCGGGCCGGAACCTTCCAGGACTTCCAAGAAGTCTCGGCACATGCCACTGGCATCACGATCACTTGCATGCCACGCCCGCCGGGTTTTCGCCGGGAGCCGTCGGCGGGTGGGGTTCGGGCTAGGTGTCAGACCGACTGTAAGATGGTTCCACCCTCTGACTGTAAAACGAGCCCCCGAAAGCACCCTGGGTCGGTTGACCTTTCAGGTAGGTCAACCCAAGGTATCCTGGTTTGGACGCATCCCCAGCCGGCATGCCAGGCTGGCAAATGTTCCAGCGGGCGAGCCGGAGACCCAAGGAAGCCAGGGCTATTTGGGGGAGCTGTGAGCCATTGTGAGCCTCGTAACTTGTGAAGGGTTTGCAGTTGTCTTGTTGAAAGAGGGAACAAGACCACATGATATGTATCCTAGGAACGGGTCCACGGTCAACGGAAGCCTTCTTCACCAGAAGGACCACTTCTTTGGCACTACCGTTCTTGTTTCCTCGGACCGTCCTACTGTAGCCCTTCTGACGAACATTTCGGTTCAGCCCAAACGTAAGGAAACCAGGGGCGGTCCCAGACGCCCCGGTCCCAACGGGTGGTGAAGGAGACACACATGGAATTTCCACGAATTTTCTCTTTTTGACGTTGGTGGCAAACAGAGTCGAAACTGGACTATGATGACTCAAGAACACCACGGCTTTTGAGATGGGACAGTTCAGTCTGTGACTTGCGAGTCCAGCCGTCCGCGCGGCACGCCGACGCTCGCCGCGGCTCATCCCCCGCTTGACGGGAGCTCATGATACTGAGCTGACCGGTCGATCGCGAGGTACTATGTGCACCTGGTGTCCATCACTCAGGGCCAAGCTGATCCATCTCAGGCTGATCTACGACATGTTGTGCTTTGGAAACCCACCCAGCAGAGGTGGCACTTTGGCAATTCAGCCGCTTTCCACTGATGTGGGCCTTTGGGTCTTGGAAGGCTCCATTGATTACCGTGGATGCCGTGGTGGACGCAGTGCCTGGCCTTTTAAAACGTCTTTGCACCGCTTGAACATGAAGCAAATCAGCTCCCAGTGGACGATCAGAATCCCAAACCTCGAAAGATGAAGTTTTCTGGACGATATTTGGGGGGGTGAACCTCAAGCCCATGTGTTGAACCCGTGGAGCTTCTCGTCTCATGAGCTCCTCGACCCTCGCGACTCGAGCGAGATCGGCCGGCTCGGACCCGCTCCTTCGAACGGGCCGAGGGTTCCCCTCTCCGGTGTTGAACACGGCGGTTCCGTTGCTCCTGGTGGTGGTCCGGTGGGTTCGTGGAAGTTCGTAGCCGCAGCTCGCTGGCTCTGAGGTCACTCCAGACATGGGCTCTTTAGCTGGTGGCAGCGCCCGGAACTGACTGGAACCGAGGCGCCGTTCCGTGCCACCGGTCGCGGTTCCGCCGAGGTCTTGGCGCTCTTTGGTGTGGGTCTGCGGGGGCTGTTGCGGCCTCAAAGGGTGTGAGAAAGTCTGGTCGAAGCTGTGCTCTTGACATCCTTTCTTTCTTTTTTTTAAGATCTCGGTGGCAAGATCAGGAGATCAATTATTTTTTCAAGATCTCCCATCAATCTCTGTGCTCTTGCTTCGAATGCCCTTGATTTTGGTCTGAGGAACTGTTCAAATGTGCTTGTCGCGGGTGTCGCCTGCACAGAACCTGCAGCCAGCAGGATTGAGGCGAGCGTGGGGTTGAAATGCAAAGGTCGTCTTAGGTCATAGTGATCCCCAAGTAGATGGTTTTCCAATACATTCCAATATACATTTCTAGTGGGATCTACTTTTCTATTTTTGGGGTCTATATATTTTTCAAAAATTGCTGTGGCTGAAAAAGATCCAAAAGCCGGGTGCCATCAGTGCCATCCAAACGCCCGGCGGAGATGCATGAATCCTAAGGAATCTGTCGTGGGGTTCTCTTCTACGGTTATTCCCTCATTCCCTAGGATCCAAAATCCCTCCACAAAGGAACAGGGAGACCAACACCCAGGGGCCAGTCGTGCTTGTTCAGGTCATGAGCAGTGGGAGCTTGGTGTGCCTTACTCCGCCCATGGATGGTCGGGTTGCTCAAGGAGCCTCCGACGGGCATTTTGAGAGCCGATGTGCATTTTGAGTTGATTTGAGGCTTTAATCCTGACGATCAGAACAACTGGCCTTCAACCACGTCCAAGACTTAATGCGCGGTGATCGTGGTTTTTTTTTCCATGTGCACTAGCGTGAAACACCTCCTGTTTCAGATGCGCAAGCAAGCGCAACAGGAGGAATGGGCAACAGGATGGGGGAGTTTCAGTGGTGGACCGTTGGGCCCCCGCATTGGTCCGATTCTGACAGTTGCGACCTTCACACGAAGGTCCGAAGAGACGTCGAAGGTCCGGCTTCATCTCGGCCGGGCCTAGGCCAGCTGAGATCACTCTCACAAAGCCAGCAGATCGTGCATCTGTCGTGACCCACTACTTCCATGAATACGGGAAGGTTTCAACAACAGAGAGCAGCTTTGTTGGGATGAGATCTTGACACATGTGCAATGCCCAGGTACGAGCAACCTTCACGTATGCATCCAGCTACACACCCTTGCGTGATGCCTAGAGACAACGCATCACGACGGGCACGGTATCAGAAATATGAGTAGTTCTGCTTATATGTCAGGCATATTTTTGGTTTGTTTGGCCATGAGGCCGATGCAAAGACTTCTAAAATCTTCTAGATTGAGTTTGTTTCGTAGCCTCCATTTGCCTGCTTGGCCCAAAATTGCAAGAGCCCTGAGGTTGGAAATGCTTTCTCCATCCTTCTACTCATCTGCCCTAAGCACCACCATTTTGATCAACGGAAGATTCTTGGTGGCATTTGTTTGAGCATCTCTTGCTCATTTTCACACAAGAACTTCACCAGATCATGCAAGCAAAGAAGCAGAGCAAGCAACAGACCTGAACCGATTCGTCGACTCCTAGGTGGCCTGGCCTCTGCCAGTGGCGAGACGGTCTCTTGGTCCAAAAGGTCGACGTCCGTGGTCCCGGTTCTGTACCAACGCTTTGTGGCCGTGATTTCGGCGTCGGTCGTCTTGCGCCTCTTGGGACCGCCCAGGCACTTCCCATCGTTCAGTTTGGCGAGCGCATGGGCTCTGTGACGTCCCAGGACGGCCCTCGTAACGGAGACCGGAGACCACTGGTGCACCCGTCGACGCAAAGGGGTCGACCCCGGCCGTGGTGAGTTCGGCCCGGCCCCGCTTCGTCGCTGGCGAGCGAGTGCGCGTGCGGAGACCACCTGCGACGGATTGCGGTCTCGGAGGAGGATTGGTCCCTGCACGTCTTCCTCCAGCGAGCCCGTGGCCACAGGCGCACATGTGAGGCCAAGAAGAAGCCGGCCCCCGAAAGGGATCCGTTTTCGTACCGTCTCCTCAGGTTTGGTGATGTGTTCGACGCTGACGTGTGTAGGGTGTCAGCCTGGTGTCCAGTCGTAGCTGAGGTTCGGTACCCGACACGCTGGGCACCGTCCGAGGCAGCACCCACGCCGCCACTGGAGGCGGTCACCGTGCCTTTGGTCCAGGGCCTCAGTCGTCACGCGCGCTTAACGCGCCGTACGGGTGAGAGATGCGCCCGGAGATCGGCACCAGCTCTGGGCCTCTTCGATGGAGGACGAGTTTGGTTTTGTTTTTTGGGAGTGTCAGTCCAAGAGTTTCAAGCAAAAGCACTCAGGAGGTTCAGCGAATTCACCGTTGGCGGGTTTCTGCCTGCCAACGGTCGGAGGGCCACGTGAACAGGGCCCGAACCTCACTTCGAGCGAGGCCTGGATCCCGGGCAAAGGCTTCGCGGCGGTGCTGCAGTCGGTGACCTTCGAGTCGCGCTTCGAGGTGGGGGGACGAGGGGTGAGTCAGTCAGAAGCAGTGAAGGGTATGGGTTGGGTCGTTGGGTCTATCAGAACTGTAACATCCTGCAACAGGATCTGTGTCCCAATCACTATGTTTATCCACTGTTACTGGTATGGACGTTGCAGGATGTTGCTGTTAACACATCACTATTTTTATCACATCACTATTTTTATGTACTAGGATAGACCCAAGGTATGGATGTGTACATGAAAAAGAGGAGGACCTCGCAGGCATGATAAAACCCCCTGGGTTCGCTTCGGAAAATCGACCCGTCGACCCAGCCGACCGGGGCACGAGTTCGGGTGGCTCCCGAACTTACACAGCCGTGGATCTAGGGTGTGTGGGGCCTGTCCCATTAGACCAGTAGCAGTCGGTCAACCATGATCACCATGTTTTCACAAGGCCACAAGGCCTGCAACCTAACCATCCTCCGCTGGGCCCTGATGGTCTACAACCAACAAGAGACGCGTTCGGACCTTTGGAAGCTCTGGTCTTCTTCCAGGGCGTACCAGTAACGGTGGAAGCAGGTGGAAAGATGCATTTGAGGTCAAAACCCGAGGCCCCTAAGCCCAGGTAGGTTGACCTCCATCCAGTCTATTCTGCTCATCTTCGGGTGCGAAAAGCCAGGGTCTGCCGTAACCCACGGCCCACAGCCAAATGTGCGCAGCAGCTTTTCTACCGGCGGAGAGATCGGGGTTCGTGCCTTACTACCCCTCCCAATGTCGACACTCGATTTCATAAAGCCCTCCCCAGACATGAATGGATTGAATGGCAAAACCAAACCTCACCTTCTGCAAAGGCTTGCCATGTCACCAAGAGATCCTCTCCGGAATATGACCAAGCCTCGGCCGAGCTACTCAGTGGCTCTCCAATGCCAGTCCCAACTCCACCGGATCGTCCGCTTGCGCCGGGACCGCTTCTTGCGAGCCGCGCTCCCCGCTTCGATGGAACCGAACGCCCAGGTGACCGAGGTGTTGCCCGCGATCGCCTCGAAGGTGCAGAGCTGCGCGGCCTCGTGTGGAGGGGTGAGGGGCTGGGGGAGCAGGCCTCTTGGTACGGCAGGAGCTGCCTTTTTCCTTTTTTCCCAAACAGTTTACTGTTGGGGTTCTATCTTAGAAAAAAAGAGCTGCCACACTCACTGGCCGCGTGGCTGGGCTCTGTGGCTGGGCTCTGTGTCCAGGCCTTGTCCTCCTCTTGTCCTCTGTGGCTGAGCTCCGTGGCTGGGCCTTGTCCTCCTCTTGCCCTCCTCTTGTCCTTGTCTTGGCCGCGCCCCTGAACTCTGTGGCTGGGCTCTGTGGCCCGGCTCTGTGTCCGGGTCTTGTCCTCCTCTTGTCGTTGTCTTGGCCGCGCCCCTGAACTCTGTGGCTGGTCTCTGTGGCCCGGTTTACTGGAGAGGAGTGTGGCCGAACAAATAGCGATGTCAATGCCGACAAAAAAATCATTGATGAAGCAGCTTGCTCTTGGGGTGAAGGTAGGGCGTACCAAGAAATCGTTTGTTGACTAATAATGACTAATATTGGTCTAAGCGAAACGTTTTGAAGCTGTTTGGGGTCTATGCTGGTATAGTTTGATTTTGGATGTCTTTTGCTGCAATCAGAAGGTGCATTTGTTGAGATGTGACAGAAGTTCTTGGCACCCTTGCTGCGTGATGACTTGCCGCGTTTCGACTCGCCAGGCAGGTGGCGTGGTGGTGTTCCTCACTGGGGCTGGATTTCACCCCTGGTCCGCTGCCAAACACCTTGCAGCGCTCTAAGAGAGACGAAATCCCAGCGAAAACCCTGTCCCAAATGGATGCTTCCCCAGTCCCAGACACCTTCTATGTAAAGGGTCTGAGGACAGCCATACTGGAACAACGTGGAACAACCATTTAACAACCAGAACTGTTTCTGTTGTGAACCAGCAGTTCGTGCGAAGCTCTTCAGCCATTCCTGAGGTGATGTTTTTGGGATTCACGACGAAGTCGCCACCAGTTTTCCAGCTTCGCTCCCTCATTCGCTCGGTCTTCCCTTGGCGTGTCGCTGAACCGCAAACCCCACCGACGCCCACCGAACCCACGCTCCTGAGACGCAGAACGAGCAACCCCCAATTCCCGCCCGGAGTCCTCCGCGGAGTCCTCCGCGGAGTCCTCCGCGGAGTCCGCGGAGTCCGCGGTCGGCTGAGATCAACTTTGAGCTCGAGGATGGCACGAGCCGCCCCTGCGAGGCCCCGCATGGTCGGTCACACCTCCGGTGTCCGTGGGAGAGGGCTCCGGTTCCGACTCCGTCCCACGGAGCGGAAGAGAACCGGGTTGGGTGGATGGGGTGTGGTCTCTGAAGATGTCATGTTTGGTGAAGATGGTCTGAAGTTCCTTCTCTAGAGTCTGGAAATACGCCTGGAGTCAGTAAACTGGGGATGCTTTATGGTGGCGAGGATGACATGTAGATAAATGTAAATATATGTTCAAGGTTTGATCTCGTGAGACTAGATGAAACACAAAACAAACAGAACGGCCCCTTCAAAAGGGGGGCTCAATGCCCCGCCAGAACCGGACCCCGCGAGAAGACTACGCTGCGCAGCTCGTGGACCCAGGTGATGAATGGCAATGAGACTCACTTGAGTTGTCGTCTCAAAGGTGGCAGGGCTTCTAAGTCTGCGAAGGAGACAGCTGGACTGGACCGGGTTCGGGTTCTGGTTCCTTGCCATGGGGCCATAGTAGGAGGAATCAGACACACTTGGCTGCCCATGTGGGGTCACACATTGGCCTGCATGGCCCTGGTGCTTTGACCGTGACGCGTTTGCACGTGATTCTTTTCTTCCCTTCGCTTGGCTTCTCGTCTCCCTGTTTTGCCTTTATGTAGCTGGCGCTGTTGAGCTGTTGTATTTGCTCCTTCTTTTTTTGGGCGGCTGCCTCGTTAGACGTCCTTCTCACTGGGGCACGTTTTTTGCGGTGATCGCGAGTCTGATCTTGTGCCCCACAAAGCCATCCACTTTTTGAAGAGCGAAGAGGCGCACAGAAGTCGCACAGAAGTCGCAGACATCCAAAGCATGCTGAAGAACATTGCGATTGGTCCTAGAACCTGAGTGAGGCTCTACTTTGGATCAATTGCCATGTAAAAGATGGTCTTTTCCCCTCATAGCAGAGGTCAAATAGGCTCTAGGGATATGATATTATATGATATATATATATAATGCAATTAATTCAGGTCATTTATCCTGGATGTTTCAGCTGATCGCATGAGCTGACGGTTCAGCCGGCGCCATGTCGCAGCTCCTCTCGTTGCCTGAAATACGGCCATTGGTGCCAGCGGATTCCGACAGAGCCTTGAGAAGGCGTGGGGTACTGAACTGATGGTGTTCACTGAATGCAACCTCGGAGGTCGAAAGACTGTAAGTTGCTCAGTGAAGGATTCAGGAAGTTCCCGAAGTCAGGTACTGAACAGACACTTCTTTTTGGACTTTTGACTCACTGAGTGCAGTGCTTGTTCGGCCAGGCATGTGTTCAGTGCCTCCATTGCTGGCAAGGGTCCACAGATGCAACCGCTGCAGGCCTGCCCCAGCATGTCAAGCCGTTAGGGTTGAGCTTTCGCTGCTGAGCTGCGGTGCTTGATTTCACTCCGAATTCTGTGGCGGGGACCGCCGGGCAATCGACGGGTCTTGTGCCGGACCAGCCGAGGGGCCGCCGGTGCACTTCTACAGCAAGCACATTGACACCTTGGGGATCTCTGGGCTGGGCAACGTGCTGCAGAAGCCTGGCTTCTTGCTTCCAAAGTGTCAGCCATTACAGAGTGTCAGAGTGTCATCCGTGAGACAGAATCATTTGGCTTTTGCCTTCTTTCTTGTTGAGTTGAGGATCACAGCAATTCAAAACCCCCACAGACCAGAGCCACTGTTTGATCTCCTCAGCTGTGCGCACCAAGTCCACTCCGCCTAGGCTGCAAAAGAGGGCCCTGCGCTTCCATGGGCAGTGCCTCCACGGGCCGTGGCGAGTATCCTCTCCCGGTCGCGGGGTATCATCCCAAGCGCGGACATTCCATGGCCAACCTCAAGGCGCAAAGACGACTCCACGAGCGTCCGATGCGGAGACGGTCCCGTTCGCGGAGACACGGCACCGGCCATTGGTTTTCGCCGGTTTTCCGCGCGGTGGGGTTGGGCTGGGGTGTTCCACCACCAATTCGACCAGTCTTCGCTGGTAAAGTATGCATTGTTTTAACTCAGACGAAACAGGTGGAGTGCACCCCTCGTCTTCGGAGTCCCCGGCGACGGCGCGCCGCGTCGCTCGCCGCATCTCCCAGGCGACGGCCATTGCGACTGGGTGGCGGTTCGGGGGGGGACAAGTGAGGTGCAAAGGCCTACTTGGTGACTTGTGGTACGAACGAGGCTATAGCTGAGCTATGACCAGTAACTGGAAGTTGTAGCAAAAGTCACGAGGTAATGCATCATGCATTTTTTCAACACCATTTTGGAGGACGTCCTTTTCTTCTTTTTTAATAAGGCCTATACAGACCCCTGTTGGGGCTCGGAACCTCGCTTTGGACAAGCGGTGTGGGCCCGGGTTGGGGTTCCGCCGTAAATTAGCGTCGGTCCACCGCAGCGTCGGTCACGGTTGGAATGCCCCGAAGGTTTTCGATCTCCTATAGACCGATAGAGCTGTGTTATTTTTAGCGAAGGATTCCTATCAAAGGCCATGTCGTCCGTCTTCTTAGAGAGTGGCCGTTCGAACGGACTTCCGGGGTGATGGGGTGGGGGGGGAGGTGGTCGAGCGCATTTCGGACGGAATGCCATGGAATCCCAATAAAAAGGAGCGGACCTGCGCAGATGTTCTCACGCCATCCCCAACGAAGTTGTTCGGAAACATAGTAGTACTGTTGGCTGGGCGGTCGAACCGTTGGGACAGTGGACCTCTTGTGACCTGACCGAGGATCAAATGCTGTCCAGATCCCCGGCGCAGAGAAGTGTGCCCAAGATGAGCGAGGGCGCCTCGAAATTGGACCGAACGACCTCGAAATTGACGAGTCCATGGTCGAATCGGTGGACAGTTCTGCCGGGTCGTCACCCGGGTAGTCACCGGGATGTCAATTCTTCATTCTGCACTTCTGCACAAATCGAAGGGAACTGAGAACGAATGAACTCCTCTGCCACTCACTCCTGAGGTGTGAAGCTGCCTGCCATCCGAGCCGCTTGGAGCATGAAAGACATGGAAGACTGAAGGCTGAAAGGAGCTTGGAGAAGTTGCTCCAAAAGCTTCCAAACACATGTTCTCCTCACCAGATTCCAACCCTCTTTTAGGGCATCTCCAAGCTCTGTCAACTAAGTTCATCACCCCATCGCCACGCACTCGTTGATCCCAGTGGCTTATCACCTGATCACCGCAGATGGCCCCGGCGCCCGACCCTTCCAGGCGAAGCAGCGCTCCCGACGACCGGAGCGCTTCGTTCTGGTGCGACTGCCCCATTGGCCCGAAGGCGGGGGCAAACCCCGCGGCGACCGGTGGTCGTCGCTAGTCATCGGTGGGTGGCCGCTGCTACAAACAAAGAAGAAAGAAAAGGAAGAACAGGTCCATGAAGGTCATGGTGCCGCATCACCGAGGTGTGGCGAAAAGAGTCACCTGAGCTGCGCGGCTCGCCGCGCGGGAGGCTCCCGCGCGGACGAGCAGACAGCTGCTTGGAGCAGAGCAGACAGCTGGCGCGGAGCCGCGCGTTGTCTGGCTCAATGACAGGAGCTGCGAAACAGAATGACATTCAATGCAACACACATTATGACGATGTTTATCTATGTTTATCATTGCTTGCTGTAGATTTAAGATACATTACAATAGAAAATGCAAATATATGCAAAGGCACACACACACAGAAAGCCACCAGAGTTCGATGGTTCTTGTTTGTGTCTACCGCCACAGCATGATGATTCTTCCAGGCAGAAACTGCGTTGTTGAGAGGAGAGTCTGCTAAATGCAGTCTCCACGCAAGCAGTGCGTGCCGCCCCATTTTTGTTTTTGCTGCTAAGCTCCGACTTTGTATAGGGCGCGAACTTTGGCAGTCTTTGTTTGGACTTCTCCTCTGCCAAGCAGAAGGGAGGCGAACATGTAGACCAATTGGATTTTTTTTGCAATTATATAACTGCCAAGAAAAGGCTGCTGTGCAGGGCGAATCCAGTGATGCGAAGGAGAGCCCAGCGTATTATATTGTGAAGGCTGCGTTGCAGAGCAAGGAGGAGGGAGCAAGCATGAGCAAGCTAATGAACTCTAGTGATCGAGCCACTTGGGCCATCATCATGGGGGGCCTCCCAGAAGCTGGACGACATTTTGCAATTTGTTCAGTTTTTTTTGAGCATACAGATGTCCCATGTATAGCATGCATAGGACATCATAGGACAATACAATTCCTATAGGGTTATCCCCTTCTTCCACACCCGGTGTCCCCCTATGCCTTCCAGCCCTCGTCCACCGGGGCCCCTGTCCGGCGGACGAGCTGGTCGAACCGAGGTGCGAAGCCCGAGAAGTTGCCCGAGACCCTCTATGGCGACGACACCTTCATGCGTCGTCTGTCCGGCGACGCTTCCGGCCCGCCCACGGCGTCCACGGCGTCCGGCGGGCCCAGGGCGTCCGGCGGGTCCTTCCGAAGACTAGACCCGCGAAGACGAGGCGGTGGCGGAGAGAGTGGTAGAAGAGGAAGAACAAGTGGGATTGGCCTGAAACAAGCGCGATGGGGTGGGAGTTTTTTGTCGGCCAGCGAAAGGGCCCCAACATCCCCTCGATGCCTCGAGCTGCCTCGACCGACTCGAGGTGGCTTCCGACTCGTTTGAGGTCGAAGCCTCAGCTTCGCTGCCATGCTGGAGCGGATGACCATTCGAAGGCGGGGCGCCTTCAGATCCAGCTGGGTCTGGGAGATCCAGGCACATGAAGTGATACAAAGTGATGGCCCTGCACAATTCCTGGCTCAAATCCCAAAGACCATTTTTGCCAAAGCTCTAACTTAATTTGCCCATGGAGCCGAGCGTCTTGAGGATTTGCCAAGTCAAACTGTATGGTCCCCTCTGGAGAATCTGGACATGGGTGGTGAGTCACCATCTTCTTCACGTTGAAGCGCTGTTGCTCTCTGTCCGGCCTCGACCGGTCGTCCAGACGCCCGACGGACACCGACAGGTGCGCTGCTTCGCCCAAGCGATGGCCCGCGCCGGCAGCCTCCGGTCGCTGCCCTCGGACACCGCCGGAGGCGCCCCCCGCGGTCCGCGACGGGCCGCGGTCCGCGCCGCGGTCGTCGCCCGCCGAACGGGCCAGGGCGGACGGGCGAGATGCTGGAGTGGATTCGACGCGCCGAACTGGAAGGTGTGGGCCCGAGATCGGGAGAGGATTTCTTGCCGTGGGGGGGGGTGGCTTCTTGAGGTGGACTTTTGGAGAAGTCAAAGGGATCACTTTGATGGATGAATCAGTACTTGTAGATTCGGAGGTCAACCTAGAAAGCCAAACAAGTAGAAACAAATTGGATGTCCCAGCCACTTGTTCTGTGAAGGACCTCAAGTGCCATGGTGCCATAATGTGTGGAGCAACATGGAGCAACCATCAATTGTTTCTGGTTGTTTGGTTTTCTAGGAAGAAGCTTTTAGATTCATATGTTCTTCGGCAGCATTTGCAAAAGGTGTGAAAACTGCGCTGCTACTGCTATTTGTGATCATTTCTTGGAGAACTTTGGGTTCCGGAAGCTGGATCTAGCTGGCGAGGTGGCGGCAAACCAATGGTGGATGTGGTGTATGACATTGACGACACGACGGAGGATGCGCCAGTTCTTGGCGAAAGCCTCGATAAGTCCAGTATCACAGAAGTACTGCATGTGGAACATTTCCAGTGAAGCGGTTCCGCTCCAAAACCTAAGGCCCTGAAACACAAGATGGTGAGCCGGCGAGGAGAGCTGCATGGTCCCATGTGCTGTGAGGACCAATGAGGATCTACCTGGACCTTCAAAGGGGTGTTTAGTGAAGATCCCTAAGTATTGTAGGGGCTTCCATTGGTGACCCCGACATGAAGGTGGTCTGCACACGTCCTGATCGACCCATCTTTCTCCGTCACTTGGGACGTCACTTGGACCGTCACTCCATTGGACACCGTCCGTTGAAGACAGGGACGCTGCGGCGTAAACGGTGTTGAAGAGCCCCTGAAAGAAACTGCTAACGAGTAGCGATGCATGTTGTTACTAGCAACAACGTAGCGATGCACCTTTGCTACTAGTAGCTTCTTGTTACTAGTGCCCTTGTTACTAGTAGCAATGCACTTCACATTTTTCAGCTCGGTGTTCTGTCCCCTCCAACTCGTTCTTCACGCTCCTTGTGGCTCCCAGGCGCTTGCAGGAGGAGGATGTGACGGATGCGGAGACGGGCTTGGCTGTCGGGTTCGCTCGGTCATCAAACGTGACCAGAGAGACGCTGTGTTTCAGCACCAAGGCTGCGGACGCTGAAAAGCTGACACCCTTCGGTCCGAAACTCGCGAACTGCCACACGTTCGCTTCGGACCGACTCCGTCCGTCCCGGTGTCGCCGGGAGCCGGCTCCGCCCACGACGGAATCGCGGACCGCGAGCCCGGTGACGCCCCCAGGGTCTTCCACGCTGGGGTGTGGCCAGTGACGAGGTGGGCGATGGAACGTGCCGGGCGTCTGCGTCGGAAGCTGGGTGTTTCTTCGCTTCGAAAGCTGGGAGTCTTTTGTTGGGGCCCCTTTCTTTGTGGGGTCCCTTCTGGGGCCGTAAGAGGATGCTTTTGCAAACCAATTCGACTTGATTGAAGACCTACAAAAGCTCAACTTCTGCAAACCACTTGAAGAGCTGGAAAAGCTCAACTTGTGTGACGGCGATAGGCGGAGGACTTCCGCTTGATGCACATGCGGACAAAGCACTTCCATGGCAAGGACAGGCATCAAATCTGATCAAGGCAAAACTGTAATGAACAAACTTTCAATGTTGGGTGTGCATCAGAATAGGGAGGGCCCCCCAACCAATGAGTTCAGCCACTTTCATCTTTACCTTTTTGGCAGGGGTCATGGGGGTGTCTCCCTCCTCCGACACACCTCTTGTGTGAATGCATGACAAAAAAAGGTATACAACCCTCTGAAGACATACACTTCCATGGTTTGCCAAATGGTTGGCGACAGAAGTTGCTTCCAAGCTCTGCGCTTGGCTTGGGGACGTGAGCTTGTCGGATTCTGCAGATTCGTCCAGGTCAGCGCAAGCCAAGTACAAAGCATCCCAAGCTGTTTCTCAACATGACAGGAATGCATCCCCACCAGAATCTGGTGTATCCCTCCTAAAATCAGTTGAATCATAGGCTTGACTTCATTTGTCCTCCACGGTTTGACCACAGATCTTCACTTCGCATCCTTCGCATCCTTCGCTTCCTTCCTTCGTGCGTGCGGCCGGGCGCATGATTCATGGGAAGTGTGTGGTCATCGGATGACTCCGATGAGTGGGAAGATTCTGGCGAGGAGTGGAGTATCTCTTTTCTTTATTCGGTGGTGAAAGGCGAAGCTATTGGAGATGATGCCGACTACTACAGCGACGGTGCTTGGTGTGACAAGTGTGGAGACAATGCTGGCTTAGAGGCTGATCTTTATTGCGTGGACTGCGAGGCCCAAGATCAGTTTCATTGTTTGGTACTCGTAGAGGCTACAGGCTTTTGCAAGGTTCTTGTTGGGGGATTGTGGCCTGGTCCTGCTGTTTTGGTCAAGTTTGGAGGTGGGAAAGGAGTTCAGAGTTCGTGGTTGTAGCTTGCGGGGAATTGCAACCTTTTTTTCCACGGGAGGTGAGCATGAATATGTAGCTATCCCTCAAGATCCTGGGTGATTTTCTATCCTTCACTCTTTTGGCCCGTGGCTTGAACCCTTGAGGCCTATTTTTGCTGGTCCTGCAGTGGGAGATGGCACCACCCCGGTGGCTGTAATGAATTGCATTCGTTGGAGCACATCGTGAAAGATGAGTCGAAAGGCCTGAGGATCTTAACGCCTTTACTCGATGAACTTCTCGTGGGATTGGCTGCGTATTTGTTGATCAGCGGCCTCCGCGAGTATGTGGACAAGGATTACTTGCGGCGCTCGGACATTTGCCCAGGCATCCGAACGCTTCAAGACGGCTTGGCTTGGGTGGATACCCTTCTCTTCTATCACTTCAAGGACACCTTAATGACTAGCTGCAGCACCGAGGACAATTTCTGGAAATTGCTGCTGGACAGTTGGGTGCGCACGGTGCTCACTGACTCGGACAGCCTTCTGTTGCTGCTCCGCACCCTGCCCAATGCCTTGCTCATTCACTACATGGCCCGGACCTTCATCGTACCACCCTTCGCGGTGGCCTACGCCGTGCTGCTGGTCGTGGTCCGCAGCCTCGAGGCTCGTTTGCCGAGGACTCGACTGCTGCGCTTCTTGGCCAGCCTGGCGCAGCGGGTCAGCGCCCTAAGTGCACGCTTCGTCTCCTACAATCTACAAGCACCAGCAAAGACCCTGCCCAGAGTGCGACCCTCACAGGTGGGTGTGAGAAGACGCGACACCGGGTTGAAACTATTTGATGCTTTTTGATGCATGAATGGTACTTGTATGATCTTGATTGTTCTTGCATGGCTTCCAAGACTTTGCCACATCCCCCAAGACTTTTGAATGCCCGTTTCCCCCGCCCAAGGACGGCCCTCTCTCCCTGCATGTCTCCCGCCGCGCGCGGCGCGGCGTGCGGCAGGATCTGGGTGAATGGTGGGTCTACTGGAGTGGACGCCAGGTGCGTTGGTTCCACTTCTACTACTCGGCCGCCAAGGAGTGCACGACGCTTCTGTTGGCCAACGTGATGCGGCTCACAGTGCTCTTCCGGTGCTTGGGCTTGCTTTTGGGCGTGGGCAAGTTGGTGAGGTGGCTTTTGGACATGGCAGGGCTTCAGGAAGAGATTCGCATGCAGCAGTCGTGGTTCCAAAGTGTGCATCACATGTGGGATACGGATCAACTGCTTTGGCAAGGGCTAGCCTCATCTGTGATGATGACGACAGAGCTGGTGAAAAGGGCGGATGCTCGCGGCATCGCAGTGGTTCTACTTGGGGCAGCTTTTCTAATTGCCTTTGACGTTTTGCTGCGCTTTGGCATCGTCCGAAAGAGGTGGTTTTATCAGCGGGGCGTTCAGCGGTCCGTGTTGTTGCCTTTGCTGGTGGTGCTCGTGGTGGTACCCACCGCCCGGTTCGGCTTCTTTCTTGTTTACTTTGGGCTTGCCATTGTGCTCTGGCAAGCCGAAAAATTGATTTCTTACGTGACAGAACTTCAGCACAATTGGTTCTGGAAGCAGTGGGAAGAGCATTACCGGGCCCTTACTCTCGGGCAATGCCCATCTTCGGATGGCGAGCTTTGCCCGTGCCCTTGCACACATCCACGTGATGCACCTGCATCTCGACGAGTTCGCCCTCCTATCCCTCTGCCGACCCCTCGCTGGCTGCGACGCCTGCGTCGACGCGCGTGCAAGCGCTCCTGCAAGCGCCGGCGAGGCGCGCGGACGTCGGCCTCAAGGGAATCGTTGGCCAGTGAGGCCAGCACAGCCAGCTGATCGTGGGTGGACTTCCCAGGCGAAGACCACACCACCATGCACCAGCCATGCAAAGAAATGCCGAAAGGGACGTACGCGCCGCGAGAGCCCGCGGGCCATGTCGGTGACGGCAAAGGGGGGAGACAGGGAGAAGCTGCGCATTTTGTGACCCAGACGCTGTAAGATACCGTACTTACTTTGGGTTCAAGACCTCCTGTCAATCTTTCAACATGAAGGATCACTTGGGCACTCGTTGGGGCTCCATACTTGCTGGCTTTTCAACAACCGCGTCTTTTTCCTGTCCCGATGGAATGGACAGATGGAAAGGCTTGAAAGGCCTGTAGTCAGCCTGCCTGCAGGAAACCAGATTGAACTGTCATCTCAGATGGGTTTGTATGGGAAGGACGAAGTCCCAAATGTCTTTTTAATTCTTTTTCCCTCTACATCTCTCCACCCTGCTACACCTCTCCAGCGTCTTATCCGCAGGAGTTCAAGCGGAGCTCGGAGCCGAGCTCCGTGCTCCTCCAGGAGCCCGGCTGGACAGAGGTGGAGGACTTCGGCGCGGAGGATGATTCCGATGGACACAGCTTGGGTCGAAGCTTGGCGTATGACAACAGCAGCGACAGCAGTGAAATTGGGCCTCCCGAGATCCTCACTTTGGCTCTGAGTCTGAACGGCGTGGTGCCCACGTGTCGAGCCCTGGAGGGTTGTGGATTGAATTTAACCGATGCCGCCACGCCGGTGGTGAAGCGGGTGACTCCCAGGAACGGCTCATACGCTGATGGCATCAATGTGGTGATCACACTTTCAATGATGGACAAGCCGGAGCAAGTGCAGATCTTTTTTGGACCCTTCGAGTGTCCCAACCCCGTGGTGTCCCAATCCGGAGGCGATTGGACCATCACCGTGCCACTCTGCTCCTTTGAGGCCTCCAAGACGCCCGTCTATGTCTTGACGAGTAGCGGCTATGCAGTTGGGGCGTCTCCGATCACCGGCGCTGGCTTTTACTTTGAACAGCTCTTGAGGCTGTCCAGCATCGTGGCCAGCAGTGGCTCGTTCTATGGAGGCACTTTGGTGGCCATTCGCGGTGCCGGCTTGGGCCCTAGCCTCGGCATGAACTATGCCACGGTGGGCGGGACACCATGTGAAGTGGCCAGTGCCTCCAATGATGAGGTTCAGTGCTACACCCCTGCAGCACCCTCAGAATTGGCCAATGCCAATGAATCCACCCGCACTTTGGAGGTCAAAGTTCATGTGATGTCCGCCGAGGTCGGCGGAACTGTGTTCAGTCGGCGGAACTGGGTTCATGGTCGTGCGAGTCGTGCTTCATTTTTTTTGCACGTTTGTTTTTTTTCCCTCTCTATTTACTGTTATGTTATGTCATGCTATGTTATCTTATACTGTATATGTTTGTTTCATTTTTGCGAAGGTGCCGTGAGAAGAGTGAGAAGTGTATCGCTCAGTGACCCTGTGACCCAGCGGGATCAGCGGGAATTTTCGACAAGCACCACCCGAAGGGTGGCTTATAGACCCCTAACTCCTAACCATGTGTTTTCCATCCAATACTGTAACAATCCAATACTGGGTGGTGCTGGGTGGACAAGAATGTTGGTTGTTTGGGATCTTTTTACTGAGGGAATACTTTTCGCTTCCGGGTGGCAACATGCAGCAAGCCATTATCATTAAAAAGAAATAAGACTGCCCGGCAATTATATATATAAATAATATATATATATATAAAGATATATACCTCAAAGTCAAAGACCAAAGCGTTCTGGGAGTTCTTGGGTGTTTTCCCAAAGAGGTCGCGACCAAAGCGGGCTTGGTGGCCGAGTATTTCTTCTTCACCCAAGGAAGGACTTTGCCGAACCTGGATTCGCGCGTTCCAGATTTGCGCCGGATCGAGGCGAATGTGGACTACCCAGCCACCTCGAGTGCCTGGGATGGCCGTGGCGGCCGGGGCGGCAGGGTAGAACTGCCGTTTGGCACCGGTTCGGGGCCTTGAGGTGATAAGATTGCTCCTAGTAGCGATGCCCTTTGTTACTATATAGTAGCTTCTTGCCCTTAGTAGTAAGGCCAGGAGCCCCTAGTAGCATCATTACCTGAGTGTTTATGCCAGGTTGAATTTGAGACATGGTAAGGACCTTTCACCCAGACATGACCGCTGTTGGATAGGACAGATTATATCTTGGGTGGTTGGTAATTGAAAATAGATGTCACTCAGGGGCTACAAAATGTACGTCTCCTGGCTCTTCAAAGCGACCCTTTTGATGGACTATGGGCCTATAAAGGGTCACTGAGGGACTCCAAACAGGTCACTTTGAAGAAGCTGGCTATTTAACATTATTCAATCATCTTAGATCCATTTATATAGTCTCTTTTCTGCAAGGTTTCTTGAAGATGTGATTGCCGCCTTGATGGAGATCTGCCTTTGTAGAACGCGTGCTTGGCGGCATCCAAGGTGCATGGCACAACGGCATGTCGGTGGTCGACAACTTTGCCGTGAGGTGGACAGGCTATGTGACCGTCACCAGCAGCGGTAGCTATACCTTCTTTTTGGGCTCCGATGACGGGAGCAAACTTTATCTCAATGGTGCCATGGTCATTGACAATGACGGAGCTCATGGCTTCGAAACTCGAACAAGCTTACCTCTCCAGCTATCCCCGGGGCCACATCGGCTGACCCTCCTCTTCTACGAAGGCGTTGGATCCAGTGGTGTTCGACTGCAGTACCGTGGCCCAGATACGGGTGGTTCCGTCATCACGGTGCCAAGCTCTGTTCTGTCTCATGGAGAGTACCTGGCTGCAAGCTCTGTTCGCGCCCCGTGTGTTTGGCCGTGCCGATTTTCCAACTCTGACATTTCAGCCGGCTGGCTTGTTTTTTATGGAAAAGGCAGTTGCAAGATCGTAACTATATACTAGCTTGTGCGGCTTCCAACAATGAACCCGCGTCACACGAAAATTAGTGCTTCGTCCCACGAAGGGCGGAAATGGGATGTTTCGCTGAAAGGTACGCCGAGGTGCCCACTCTTTCCTACACCTACAATGAGCCATCTGCGTCTCCGACGATTGAGAACTTGACGGAGACGGGACGCGAACTGGAGCTCTTGGGGACGTTGTTTGGTTCCTCGGGGATGGTGACACTCGGCACCGCCAGCAATCCCAACACCAACTTCCACTGTGTGGCCTCCATCTGGACGGATACTCGAATCGTGTGCGAGCGGCCCGATCTTCCTTCCGGGGCATGGCAAGTGCGCGTGTACTCGGAAACCTGGTTTCTGCTGGTACCAGTGGTGTTTGGGGGGTGAGCTGTTGTTTTTTTGTTCGGTGAAATCCCCGTAGGAACTCAGAATCAATCCAGGCCGAAAAACTTGTCTCTTTCTTTTTTCTAAGGTTCCCAGCTTTTTTCACCCAGGACACTGATGGCTGGTCGAATCCAGCTCCTGTGCTCATTTGGGTAGACTTGACCATCTCTTCTGTGGAGTCTAATGGCATCAATGTCTCAGCAACGCGCACGGAGCACCCTTGGATCTTGGTGATGAAACTCTCCCAAGGAGCCGATCTGAAACTCGTGCTTTCGATTCTGAAGACCTCTTGCCGTGTCCACGCGCCGGATGGTCAGAACAGACGGGTCCCGTGTGTTGGAGGGTTCGGCCGTTTGTTCTAGCGTTCAAACGGCTACTCGTGGCTTTCCGCCGTGTTCGGCACGTTTTCGGAAGACTCCACGAAGACTCCACACTTCAGGAGGGGTTCTGGGCTACAACTCGCAGCTGTGGACCAACACGGACTTGCTGAACCCGGAGTCTCCCGAGGATCGTCCCGACAATGCCAAGTACCAGGCCTATTTGGATGTGCCATTTCGAAGGCTTCGTGCTTGTGTTGGAAGTTCTCATGGGCAATGCATCTATCACAGCTTTGAGAGTCCTTGGAGCAGCGCTTTGGCTCTCTTCTCTGCAGGCTATGTGAGGGACACGTCCGTTGATCAGGCTGGAATGGTCCAAGCATTTGGGGCCACACCCGGGTCTTATCGGACCTGTCCAATGATCCTTGGATGTGAAGTCTTTCCGTCTCGCAGTTTCGGTCCTGACTGGCGTGGGTGGCCCTGAATGGTGATTCGGTCCTGAATGGTGATTCTTTTAGATGCATGAAGGTGTTTTGGTGAAACGTTGAGAGGGACTTTCGGACGTCCTCGAGAAACGGGTTGTTTGCATGGTATCCATAAAGCTTGAGAGCGCGAGGATGAAACCAGGCTTCAACCTGGAATGCGCCGCGAACAACCGTGCTCGCTGGGGCTTTTGCGCCAATTGCCCTAGCCAGCGGTGCCATGAGGAGGGTGAGGATGCGGATGCTGCGGTGGGCATTGGTTTGACCGGACAATCCTCCGACCCGGTTGGAGCTGGTTGGACCTCCTACTTCGCCAGTGGCGGTGGGACCTGCGAAGCCTCGAGCACCACTCACCGAGATGTCTGGCTTTGGGTGGAGAACATGAACATCACCGACGGAGGCGTTTGGCTAAATCCGCACGATCCGGGGTGGAAGCCAACGGGTTTTTCTGCTTGGAAACCCGGTCACAAGCAGAAGCACATGGATGGAAGTCACTGCTTGTCCCAGACACTTCCTATGTAAAGTCAAGGATCTCAAGAAAGACATATTGGAACAACCTGTTTCTGGTTGGGACTGAGCTTCCAGGTGGGCTTCATACAATTGGAAGAAGAAACACACGGATCCGACAGAAAGCCCGCGACAACCGAAGACAGCCCCGAAGAACGCTCCAAGGAGGTATTCGGGGGTTACAATCCTTCCAGAAACCCAGATCCGACATGACCGAGATGGGTTACGGAGGTCTCTGAGTTACGGGGGCAGGATCTCCTTTCAGCTCTCCAACCTTCTAGCGATGGCCTCCAACCTAATGGCGACGGCCTCCACCTAGTACCCTCCCTAGAACTAACATGGAAGTGGAAAACCACCTCTTTGTAGTGGAACATGGTCTTCCAAGGGGCCCTTCTCCACGTAACCATGTTAGTTCGAGTGTAGCTTCTTGTGACGTTCGTAGCGGCCTCCAAGCCGACACGACCCGAGGTGTGGAAGGCTCGCTCTACAGTGGCTACGGTGGAGGGGTGACCGTGGCGCTCCAGGGCGCCGGCTTCGGCTTCGAGGCCTCGCAGACGCGGGTCACCGTGGCTTCGGCTTCGAGTGGAACCGGTGATCCTTCGGGTGGATCCGGTCGGAATGAAAGGAATTCAGGGTGGAAGGAGCAGATTGAGTAGAAGTAGATGATATACTACATTATACTACTGTAGATGAAGAGCCGGTGCTGATGGTGTTTCTCTTCATCTTGAGACCAGAGTCGAGTGGTTGTAAGCTTTGTGGAGAGATGTCGATGTCGAGTCTTTTCCAAAAAGGTTCAGAGTACTCGTAGGAACTGAAGGGCTTGACGTTCTTCGTTTCCTGGTGGGAGACTGGGAGACGCATCCTTTTTCGTGCGCGGTGTGTATCAGGAGTGCCTCGAACACCCTCCGTGAGGCTGAATCCTCTCTTATCTTCTCCCTACAATTCGAACCACCATTGATTAAGAATTCAACGCCTTTTAGTTTAGAACAATCATCAACGGTGGTGTTGCTAAGGATTTTAGACTATAGTTTCTTAAATCGCCTTTGAAGGCTGGGGATTCCTCGCTGCCCGCGATGAGTTGGTTGTCTATGCTTCCTTTGACCTTGGTGATTCGGCTGGGGGTATCCGTATTCCAATGCACATAATCTTGAAATCCGGTATGACCAAGCATCAAGGCGATCGATCATTGCCAGCCGCAACCCACACGTTCTACACGTGCCGAGGTGTGTGGAGAGCCTTGCGAGGTGTCCACGAGCGACGGAAGCAGCGTCAAGTGTACAGCACCTTCAATGACAGATCAGGAGCTCATTGATACCTTTCCAGAGTCCTTCCCATCGATTGATCTGGCCACAGTGGCCTCGAAATTTTACACCGATCGCGGGGAGTTTGAATCACAACTCTCTGAACTGGCCTTCACGTCCTCCATCGACCAGCAAATCGATATGTCAATGGGTCTTGGAACAAGAAGCAGCGACTGCTGGTTTGGCTTTGAGCTTCCCCCAAGCAAGGAAGCATTCTTGACGGCCGTGGACTTTTTTCCCCCGACGGATCCTAATCGGCGAGCCAAGGCAGGGCCCGAGCCATCGACTCTCCTCCGGTTTTTGGGTGTGCTTCCCCAAACCCCGGGGTGGGTAAGCAGACCGTCAAGCACTCTGGGCGGCACACTGCCCGCCATGGAACTCGGCAGTTTCCAGCCAGAAGGGTCTCGAGTTTGTCAGCAAACACACCGAAGATACCTCTAAGAACTACCTGCCAAAGCCAAGCCACAAAAGCCCACCACCCACCGTTTCACGGTGCCACGCCGACGAAGACACCGCCTAGACGAAGGTGTCTTCGTCTCCCCAACCGCACCACGCGTCGCGGCCGGCCTTGCGTCCGCGTCCCGCTCGCTCCGTTCTCGCTCCGTCTCGGTCCGCAGGTGGCCGAGACCGTCTTCGAGGTCCGGAGCTTCTCGGGGAATTTGACGTGGACGGAGGTCGCCAGCGTGCGCGACACCACGATCACGGGGTCCACCATTGCGCAAGGCGAGGTGGAAGCCTGTGAGCGGAGGAGGTTTTGGTGTGGTGATTTTTGGTTCGGTTTTGGGTGCGTTTTTTGGAATGAGGCTTGGTGAGTTGTTTTTGAAGAGGGGTTTGAAGTGGCGGTGGATCGAAATGAGGAGACCTTTGACACAGACTCGAGCTTCTCGAGTTTCTGGTACTGGGTGTAGGAAACATTGACAATTAGACCCGGTCTCCTGGTTCGGCCTTATTCCAATACACGTTTATATGATTCAAAAAATCTGGCACCTATATAGACTCTCTGAGGGTGCAGGACTTTTCATCTGATTCAGAACCAACATATGGTCTGTCTTATGTAATTACTATATATATATATCCTTTTTTGGACCTGCTTTGGACTGTGACTCCATCGAACACCTCGGATCAAAGCTGCTCAGCAGCTCAAATGATCATCAATTCACCAGTGGACTGAATGGATATATACTTGACTGGTTGACAATGCATGTTTGGTGGAAACCACTTGATTTGCTAGTAATCATAGAAGCTACTAGGTGGAGGCCATTGCAACAATGCAACAATATAGCGGGAGTGCGCACCGCAACACGCGCCCTCAGGTTGGACCTCCTTCCCAATCGTGGGCGTTGGGCCCAATGGAAGCGCTGTTGCGCAAGCCTTTCGCGTCCGAATTTTACCGGATGCGTGCCGATCCTCAGGGGAGATCATGCGCGGCGTGCGGTTCAGAGGCATTTTGCTGAACAAGGGGAACACCAATGCTTGCCCCATTGAGGCGCCTAGTAGTCACGGAAAGTAGTCCTTTTTTGGGAAGTCTTAAAGACTTTCTTCTTTGTGTGTCTCCATGTATATCGCAATCTAGACGACTAATAAAGCACCCTCTTTGAAGAAGTTTTACAATCCATGTCTGAGGGGGTTGAAACATCAAGAGTCTACTCTTTGAGTGGTTGCATTTGTCTGAAGATGCATGGTTGCTTCCGTCCCCCTTCTTCAGGTCGACAGCGTTTCACACCCGTTGGCTTCTGCCATTGGTGGCTCAGCCTTGCTGCCGGTCGTGTTGTCCTACAGCGTCGAGCGGACGCCGGTGGTGGCATACCTGACGCCCAACCGGGGCACGGCACGGGGAGACACCTTGGTGACACTGCTGGGACAGGGGCTGGAACCCTTGGACTCACAAGGAAGTGCCACGAGTGTGTCGAGTGACAATGCGCAAATCACCTTCAACCAGTATCCTTGTCGTCCGGACAGTGCCAACAGCACGGCTTTGAGCTGCTACACCACGGAACGCAATGCGGGCATTTTCGCTCCTTTCACGCAGGTCTTCCTTGGGGGTAGGGGTTATGCGATCATCTCCCTGGCAGCAGAAGACACCGTGTTTAGGCAGGGCATCTTCTTACGCTGTCCGTTGCAATTGATATATTAATGTTGTATCCTAGTAGCAAATAAGCTACTAATAGCGATGCCCTTGTTTACTGGCGATACCCTTTGATCCTAGGAGCTTCTTGCTACTATATTCTTTCACAGGAAATCCCTTTTTGGTTCCAATTGTCCACAAAGCGCCATAATGACATGGGCTTGCCCTGGTCACATGGACTGAACAAGCACCTGGGAGGTACGTGGACAAGTGGAGTAACATCTACAGTTGGCAAGATTCCGAACCGCCTGTGGATGGCGATTCAGTGGTGGTTCCTGAGGGCCAAGCGATCATGCTCGATGTGGACTCGCCCAAGCTCTTCTTGCTCCTAATCTCTGGCTACTTCGAATTTGACCGGAAGGATGACTGGATCAGGGTGATGGTTTTGCATGGTCTTGCTAGATTTTCCTTTGGTGGGGTAAATGGGGGAATGTACATCAACAGGCGAATCCATCATTCAGGGCGAATCCATCGGTCACCGTTTTCGGTGGTTTTCGATCCAGAGGATTTGCAATTGGACTCCACCTACATCTGGATCGCTGGTGGAAACTTTTATGTGGGCTCCGAGGCGGCTCCGTTCTTGCATCAGGCGACCATCACCTTGCATGGTGACCGTTGGCACACCATCGAGCTGCCAGTGATTGGCTCCAAGATGTTAGCCGTGACAGACCTGGGAGGACTAGGTGGGGTGAGTGAAGATCCAAAGAAGTCTGGCCGATTCCGATTTTCTAGCAGATCCTTCATAGTCATAGTAGGTCATAGTCATGTTACATGTCTGGCTGGCCGGGAGTGCTCCGCCTTTTCTTTGTTGGGCCTTAGCTCAGGCACGCTTTTCGCTGGCAGGTACCTGTGCCCATCTGTATGACCGGAATGTGCGGCTCTCTCAGACTGGAAAGCACTACGTGGACCCCTGCCCGGTGAAGCTGGTGGGTCGCCTGGAGCTCCATGGGCGCCCGGGCATCAGTTGGACGCGCCTGGTGGAGACCGCGCCGGCCGGAGCGGACCTCTTGAAGCTCGAGGAGGCCGTGGACTGGGAGATCGGCACCGAGGTGGTCATCACGCCCTCCGAGCGCCACGCTGAAGAGGTGGGGCCCAGACGATGAAGTTCGAGAGCGAGAGAGAGTGGTGCCACGAGTGTATTTTGGTGAACAGTGGCAGGTGTGAAAGGTCGCAGAGGTTCCGCCTTGCTGAACACTTTTGCTTTGACTTTCAACCTTACATCTCATCTCAGGTCCGTAAGGTGCTGAGCCTTGAGGACAACGGTTTCTCGAACCAACCACCGACGGGCGACCGCAGCGTGTGTCCTGCGGAGGGCGGACGGGACCGGGACCGGGCCGCGGCGCGGCGGGTCGCGCCCCGCGCGACCGCCTGAGGCTTCACGCTCCGTTTGGACGAGCCTTTGAGGCATGAGCACCTGGGCACTTGGCCGGAAGCTCAGACCAGACTGTTTGGGCTCCGGAAAGCCCGGAGCGAGCTTTGGTGGAAGCGGAAACAGGGCGGAACATGTGTGTGTGTGTGATGGGTGTGCTTGGTTGGAGGTTGGAGGTGTGCTTTCATTCAGCGTCAGTCAGCATCAGTCAGCTTGAGGTACTACAATGATGAGATTCCAACCCCCACGGACCTTCGCTGAAGCCCCAGATTGGTCACTACGTGTGACACCTTTAGAAGAGAATTATTCCTGAACTCTTTTCATTTCGTTGCATGTATCTTGCATCATTATATTTGTCTCACTATCTCAGTGGACGTTCCTGTCTTCTTCCTTCTGCACATCTTCGCTTGCCTGATCTGGTGTCGAAGCCGGAGTGTTTTCTTCTTTTTTTTCCCACCGCTTCGAAGACCTCCGGCTCCGAAGCGTTTGGGGAGTCAATCCAGAAGGAAGACCGGCCTGGTAGCACCTGGGTGACCGGTCCTGCTAGGCACTTTTTAAAGTTCGAGTGACCGGTCCTGCTTGGTTCATCGCACCAAAAGCTACCGCCTCTTCTTCAGGTGCAGCTGTTGGAAGGCTCAATCGCAACGTCAAGGCGAGGGAGAAGAGTTGTTTCGAGCTGGTAGTTTCAGTTGGAGAGAGGGTAGACATTTGGTGCATGCAGCATCTATCTACAGGATTTTAGAGGAATTTCATGGTATGTTTGAAGTCCTTTGTTGGGAGAGAGAGAGAGAGAGAGCGCGCGCGTGCGCGCAAAGGATTGTGTGTTCATCACTATGTCACCATGTGGAATGCGGGGTTTCTCGCAGTGCAATCGAGGTGCAAGGTGATGAGAAGTCACTCTCCGCCGGAAACGTCTGAAGCTCATCCAATCCGAGAAAGCGAACGCCACGCCGCCGCTCGCGATGTGACCGTGACCGTCTGAACGCCCCCGGACGTCGATGTGACCGTGTCTCTGAGTCCTTTATGTTTGGCGTTCACATCGGCGCCTTCCACGGCGGCATCATGCGGATTGAGAACACAGAGATCACTCGCAGCGGTCAGGCGCCAGGGAACAAATTCGGGGAGGTATGACTAGGGGCAGGATTGTCCTTGAAGAGGAACTTGAGATTTCTTGGAAAAACGTGGATGCTTGATGTTCAGAAACCCTCACTTGGAATCATGTTCTACTTTATCACCTCTTTGAATTGGAGGCTGGCGAGACCAACAGCTGAAGAAGTGCATTTTATAAAACCTCTTTGAATTCAGTTGGAGGTAGGTCACCTAGCTGGGTGCATGATAAACCTCGCTTCTTTGGCCACCTAGCTGGGTGTATGATTCATCCCAAGAGTCTACATCAGGGATCGTCACGACCTCCTGGCTCCGGGCCACCCGCGGTGCGTTGGTGATCGGGCACCGTCGGTCCGTTGACGGGCGGGTGTTCGGTGGCACGAAAGCCAAGACAAAGCCGCAAGTGGAGCAAGTGGAGCAAGTGGATGTTGATTGGTCACCCCGCCACTTGGGCTGACTCTCCTATGATCCTTTTGAATATGTTGATGTTCCTTGTCAAGGAGCCACCGAAAGGTGGTTTGTGGTTGGTGTTTTGAGGACGTACAGATGGGCTCGGCCTTTTCAGAGAGTTCTACACCGGCCACGAGGACTCCTCCACTTCCCGCCCAGGCCGCCAATTTTGGCCGCTATTCCTCGCATTGGCACGTGCTCTCACCACATCGAACCGTGGATGTGGCTGATGTTGCAGCTTGGACAAACACACAGCGCGACATGGCTGTCACATGCGACATGGCTGTCACCTCCCCTCCCCTCCCCCACCAAACCATGAGAAGTTGACATACCCCTAGAAGTCCAGTTCGACTATATTCTGACCGGCTGAAGTCAAGGAAGTTTCCGCAATCAGGTCCCCGTTTGTCAGACCATTCTTTTTATAGTCGACTGGACTCCCAGTCAACATCCCCTTATAGGGGGTCAAGCAGGGTGCCAGGGGGTCAACCTGCGGGCCAGGGTTTTGACCCACTGCCAAATCAGTTTTGGACCACAGAGAGGTTCTTGCCCTTGCCTGTGTGCCGTGAACCAGCCCGATTTTCGGATGGCCATTGGACCAAACAGAGGGTTTTCACTCCGCTTCCATGTTGACTCGGAGTTGTATCTTCCACTCCACCAGCTGACTATGGCATGGAAGTGGAACACAAAAATAGTTTTTTGATGTTTGGAAAGTCGTTGTCCTCTTTTATTCGCTGGCCACCGATCGCCGATCACCGTGTCTTGGCAGGAGGCTTTTCTGCTTCTTGCCTGCTTCTTGCCCAGAACTTCCGTTTTGACTCATGAACTCATGAACTGCTCCACCTGGTAGTCAATCCATCCACTACTCACTACTCATAGTTGGGGCACAAATGAGTCACCCGAAGTCGCGAAGCACCATATGGTTTCATAGCCTTTGCCAAACAACCATTGCCAGCAGTCACAAAGGGGTGCTTAATGGAGGTAGTCGGGGTGCCCAGCTACTCCACTCACTTAGGGACCAAACACCACCCCTTTGTGACTCCTGGTGGTTTTGACATGCTTTACACAAAACCAGATTGTTCAGACTGCATTCCAGAGGAGTTTGGCAATTCCTCGACTCTCAGGGTTTTGGGCCCTCCGACTTGGCCGGAGAAGACGGCCTTCTCCGACGGCCTCGTCTCGGACCCCGAGGCCTTCCTTCGGAACAACAGCTATCACGATACCTTCCAGCGTGCTGTGGAGCCATCCTCAGGAGACCAGTTTACAACCAGGCCGAGTCCAGGAAAAAGTCTCAGTTGATTTTTGCAGAGTAGTGGTGAATGATGACTGCCAGGTCTGGTCGAGTCATCATTTTTGGGACCAAGATAAACCTGGTCCGACCTCATGGAGGCTTTGGCATTCTCCCGGCCCCAGTCAAATGAGGTCCGGTCTAGACCTGTAGGGTTTTGAAGACCCCTTTAGGGTCGCTCCAACAAAATCAGCCCAAACACGGATGGATCGCTTTTTCCTCGACACATCGAAACACCACCGCCACTACACCCAAACCCTCCATGTCACTCCTCGACTCCACTCCGTGTGTCGAATCCGACGACCGAGGTGGTGCATTCCACAGACTTCGCCGTGGTGCGAGACAACGTGGCCCTGAAAACCAAAGGCCATTCCTTCTTCACGGAGGCGCCGTGCGGCGAGGGGTTGCGCCGTGCGGCGGAGTGGTTGCGCGGAGCTCCCAGCTCTCTCCAGTTTGGCGGAGCTCAGTATCGAGCATGTGTTGACAGAAGCTTTTCAAAGCTACTTCTGAAGCTGTGTATTCTCTGATGGATACCATCATGAGCTAGACGGATGTGCTGTTTGGTGACTTAGATGTTTTGGTGTGCTCAACACCCTTCACGTCAGGCGGGCGATGAAGTCTTCACGCTCTACGAGCACAATCTGGCCGTCCATCCACTTCAGTTGGCTGCTCAACTTTGGGTCACTGCCTTCACCTAGTTTTGCTTGTTCGGTTAATTTTCAGGTGAATCCCCATCTGGGGAATATTCTTTTGACCTCTTTTTACCGGTTCCAGTTCCAAGCAAATCCAAGCAAACCAGTTCTACCAAACCGGACCACGGGACGGGTTTCCGGCTTCCTGGACCTCGGTCTCCGCCAGGCATCCGTTGCTCTTGGATGACGACATGGACCCGGCAGGGTTTTGGATGCCGGGCTTCATGGGATGGCAGCGCCGACACGTGTTTTGCGGTTTCACCAGACCGGCGATGAGGAGACGGGCACTCAGCACCAGACTGGAGACGAACTGAAGCTGAGAAGCCGTCTCAGCCCGGATGCGAAGCACAACCCAGATGCGCCAGCACACACAGCACAAAGGTCATCCATAGTCCATGTTTAAGGCAACATAACCCTGAAAGTCAAAAACTATGTACCTGAAAGGGAACTTCCTTTACTTCACTGAGACATAATAGAGTCTTCCTACTTCCAGGGCAAAAAAGATATGAAACATGTTCTTTGCTGATCTCGTTTTGCACCTTCGATCATGCGATGGACCAGCTCATGGCGGCAAGTCTTCGCGCTGATCGCCCCTTCCTTGGATTGGCTTTTTCGCTGAGATTGGAGGCACCTGCAATGATGAGACACCGCTTCCGCGCGGGCGAGGTGATGAGAGGCTCCAGTACGTCTGTGCCATCATTGCCGCTGCTTGGTGGCGGCCAGATGTTGGGGGGCTCAGACCGGTAGGGCCTTTTCCATCATCCGAATCGCCTTTTTTGAGGGGACGGTTGCAGGCCTCCAGGTGGATGATGCCAAAGGTTCGTGTTCTTTTTTGCCCCCAGCCCATGGAGATCTGTGGCGGTTTTCCTGTCCTGTTCCGACGCTGGCGACCGCGATCAGGCCCATGGCAGGTGTTGGCATGTGCTGCAGGGACTCCGCACGCCAGGGGCCGAGTCGAGCGGCAAGCGGCACGGTCCTGATGTTTTTATATCACGGACAATTCGGGCACGTCCCCGGGCGTGATAGCTCGGCGTGAGCAGAGCTGATCACACAGAACCTGATGTTTTTATAAAAGGAGAGAGACATGGTGGTTCTGATATGTCAATGCAGATCCATGCGACGCAATCCGGATAGCGTGGGGCCTGAGGCCTGGGGATTCCCATCCGCTTCGGACTGGACAGACCGACCAGCGTTCCGTGGTTTTGCTTCCTTTGCATGTTCGACTACTTCGTTTGGCTTCAGACACCAGAAACGACGCAAGCTCAGGGGGCGACGCAGCTCGACAAGGTGTCCTAGATTTTCTTCTACAAGGCCGCCCAGCGACGCCGAAAAGCCCCCATCCTTCGGCCCTTGGTGACTGTTTCCCTCATCATTCAGTGTGTACTCCGCAGCGGGAGCACGTGGATACGGCGGTCGCAGGTGGAAGGCACGTGGATACGGCGCAACTCTACGGCAACCATAGAGCTTGGGTCTCAGCCCATCGCTTTTTTTTTGGCGATGTGTACAGAGAGTGCATACTGTGTTGGTCTTGACGTCCTGACATCATTTCAAGAAATCACGAGGAGTGTCAGGAAACGTGAGTCAGGAAACATAGGCATGTCATGTCTAGAAACTAGCACGTAGTGGGAAACGAAGGGAAGGTAACGCACATGATTATATTTTCTTCTTGCACATGCAGTACACATATACCCTACAAGTCAATGACCTCATAGTATTGGAGTTTGTCATACAAAAACACTACTCATAGGTAAAAGACCAGGTTTTACTAGGTCTTTGGACTTGTAGGGTATATATCCACACACATGTGGCCTCACATCTGATGAATTGGAGAACCATCTGCTAGACCGAAGTCAAACGAGCAAGAGTGTTCCCAACCACAAAAACAGTAACTCCTGGACATAGAACCAACACCAAAGGATCAAGACTTCTCAACACCGAAGCAGCAAGAACACCAAAAAACCGCAGTCTATGATCCAGTCTATCCCAGACCAAGGCTCGTTTCTTGTTCTCTTAATTTCTTGGTTCTGTTCACTTCTTTTTGGTGCATGGCAGTGCATGAGATCAGACCTCCGCATGGCTGCCCTCGTTAAACTTTTCAGGAGATGGATGAGTGTCGCATCCCGGCGGCGAACATCGTGTCTCTTTTCGTGTCCGAACTTAGGCACCCCAGAACCATAGCGAGTAGGGCCTTCTTGGACTGCACAGCGCTTAGGAGACAAGTCCGAACTTCAGGAGAACGGTGACCAAGAGAACGGATGACCTATATAAGTGACCGACCCACTGGGATCTCAAAGGGTCACTGGGAAGGTCCTGGTGATTGGGTTCCAAGGTTCCGGTTATCCAGGCTGGGTTGGAAGAGGGTTCTACTTCGCCGTGCTGCCAGGAAGTGGGCGAAGGAGTGCGGCTTGCCATCGAACAAGGAGTGCCTTTCGTCTCAAGTTGGGGAGTGCCGTCTCTGGGTTGGGAGGAGAAGAATCTTTCGAATCTGATTTGTGAAGATGGGATCCCACGGTTGGATTTCCGGCGATGAGAGGATTCCATTGGAGAAAAGAGCTCCGTTTGATTGACGCCACCATCTGAGGTGCCAAGAGAGGAGATCTTCCTGACGACCAAGATTTGGCCTGACGAGTTTGGATTTGAAAAGGCAACATTGGTCTGAGAGATTCGTGCTTCGTATGACGTGATTTCTCTGGTTCGCCGTGCTCCGACCGTTTGGCGTACCAATGTACACTTTTTTACGTTTTCTGCGCAGGCTATGGCCTGGGCTCCACAGATGCTTGATGAACTTGGGCTGGAGCAGCTCGGCTGAGATGGTGACTTGGATTCCACATTGTGGGTCAACTCTGGTGGAGTGTCTGGATAAACAGCATCAAACAGAGGTTCCAAACAGATGTTCCAAACAGCCCCACTGATGGTCCAAACCCAAACGTCGAGATGTCTGTTTCGACCTGTTTCCAGGCCCCGACACCCCACAGGGTCATGCGCTCTCGATCTGCGAGTCCGATCTGCTCTCGGGTGATTCGCGATCCATCGGGTTGGACGAGTTGATCGGTTGGACGAGTGGGGGGTTGGAAGAGTTTGCGGATCGAGAAACTGAGGTATGTAGATCTGGTGCTGTTGCACATGGCCAGTGCTGACGACAAGGAGTCACTTTTGGTGTTGCTTCCTAAGCATGTCTAAGCCACAATTGTCCAGGGGTCGGCGAGAGAAACTTTTGAAAAACAGGGTCTCCTGGCTTTGTGCGCTAGAGATTGATGAGATTGCAAGACCTTTCTCTGTAGGTTGTGGTTAAGTAATGACAAGCATCCGAGACACTGGGCATGTAATGAGTTAGTAAAGAATGCCTTTCAATGAGAAGTGCACATGACATGCACAGTTGCAGGACTGTGGAACACCAAAGCAGTGTCGCCAAGAGACCTGGCTCGCGTTGCAAAGATTCCATCGCAAGGCCGGGGCGAAAGGGCCTATAGAATGATCTTTCGGTCCACATGAGCTTTGCACATTTTTCCCGGCTTCCATCATGTGCCGCGCATGCAATCCGCTGGTATCCGTCTCCAAAACGCGCCAAATGGCGTCTCGAAGCGTCGCCGCCGTCCAACTCGGCGCCGCGAAAACACACCGTCGTCCAAGGGGAACACGGACTCCGCGCAGGGACCTTCTTGGGCCAGGTGCTGGAGATGTTTTTTTCCCCAAACAGTGTGGACACACTACTGTAGGGGTTCTTACGGTAGTAGAAAAGCAGCTGATGCCTAGATCGCTGAAGCGCGCGGGCGTGAACGGCTAATTCGTTGCTATTTACAGTACATTCATGCCTCTCGAAAGCCTCGAAGTGCATTTCGACTGCGCAGGCTCGCTGAATCTGGCGGCCGGCGGCGGGTGCTTCTAGCGACTGCGCTCTCGTTGTGGTGCCCTGCGCATTTTCGCATATGATGGTCACTTTTCGTGACAGGTGCAAGGGATCGGAGCTGTTTTACTTCGAGCTGCAGTTTTCGTGGCAGGTGCAGCACTTTGGACATGGTGGTGATCGTCGAGGAGCTCAGACTTCGTGACAGGTGCAGTGAATCGTGACTTTTGGACGTGTGGCTCGTTTGCAGATTTTTTAGTGACAGGCGCAGCACTTTGTGGACCTCGATGTGCAGATTTCGTGACAGGCACAGCACTTTGTGAACCTCGACGCGCAGAGTTCGCGACAGGCGCAGCACTTTGTGAACCTCGATATGCAGATTTCGTGGCAGGCACAGCGCTTGGTGAACCTCGAAGTGCAGATTTCGTGGCAGGCACAGCACTTGGTGAACCTTGAAGTGCAGATTTCGTGGCAGGCGCAGCACTTGGTGAACCTTGAAGTGCAGATTTCGTGGCAGGCAGCACTAGCTTGGTGAACCTCGAAGTGCAGATTTCGTGGCAGGCACAGCACTTGGTGAACCTCGAAGTGCAGATTTCGTGGCAGGCACAGCACTTGGTGAACCTCGAAGTGCAGATTTCGTGGCAGGCGCAGCACTGGGTGAACCTTGAAGTGCAGATTTCGTGGCAGGCGCAGCATTAGCTTGGTGAACCTCGAAGTGCAGATTTCGTCGCAGGCACAGCACTTGGTGAACCTCGAAGTGCAGATTTCGTGACAGGTACAGCGCTTTGTGCTCTCAGATGCTCACTCTCCCACTCCCTCACTGTCATTCCCTCACTCTCACTCTCACTCACTCACACACGCTCACACCCACACTCACTCACTCTCACTCTCACTCCAGCCGGTCTCCAGCCGGTCTTTGTGGCACTCAACGGTGGCCCCTTCGGTGCGTGGACCGTGCTGATGGTGCTGGGGGGCCGTTCGAGTCCTTGGGCTTTGACACGTGGACGGTTCGCCGTTCAATGTGCAGAGAACTGAGGGCGAGTAGGGCGAACCGCAGGGCGGCGCGAGCCGCCCTGAGAAAACCCAGAACATGACTCATGAACGACCATGAACCACCTGGGCCTGGTAGGCGGTGGATGGATTGACTACCGACCAGGGGTGGAGTAAAATGGTCATCACGGAAGTTCTGGGCAGGGAGATGTGGGTGCTGATGCCGAAAGCTAAGTCTGTGTGTTCCCGCGGACCGCTCTCGCGGACACCGGCCCATTCAATGTAGAGCAGTGGGCACTGTGGCGGGACCTGCTCAGTGGCAAGAAACTGGAGAAATGCCTCAGAAGCTTCTATCATTAGCTTCAAGCAAGGAGTTTCAGTCTTCAACTTCAATGATGAATCACGTTCAAGACTTGACCATTTTTGCCGTGAGACTGTGTGATCTTTTCTTTTGACTCTGCAGGGCAAGATCCGGTCACTTGGAGTTAGCAATTTTGGCCCTCGACAGATGCAGGACAGGGTGACATATACCTGGAACCCATTTGACCCCTGTTTTGATAGGAACAGATCCTTTTTTTGGGTGGCGGTTGGTGGTCCAAAATAGAGGTCATTCAGGTTCTAGGTAATACATAGAGGTAAGTTTTTTTGCTTTGTTGTCTCGGGAGGAGCTTTTCGACTTGGGCGGAGTACCAGTTGCAAGCTTAGGGGGCCCGACTGGCCCGATGGCACCAGGCAAAACAGTCAGCGTTCCAAGGGTCGAAAATGGTTGTCTTCTCCGGTCTTTGATAGCTTCCAGGTCTCAGTGAACCAGTTGGAGTACCATCCTTGGGTGCCCAGCATCCATCGAGAAACGGTGGCCTGGTGCCACAGGAGACCGAGCGGAGCGCGAGCGGATCTTTGGAGCGGATCTCTGGAGCGGACCTCTTGAGCCCTAGGCCCTGGCGTATAGGACAGGTGGTCTGGTGGAGGAGGTTTGTTGACTCACAGCCATGAGGCTGAAGCGTTACAACAATCGACTCGCTGCGAGGAGGGGTGTGGTGGTTACAGCTTATGGCTCCATGGGTGAGCGACTCATGAGATGAGCTGTGTAAACAGCTGTGTTTTGGCTGCCGCCGACTCCGACATGAAGTGTTTCTTCCTTTTTTTTCAACGGGCTCTTGATCGTGAGGTAGCAATGCATACGCCTCGCAGATCACTACACAGGTGCGGAAACTGGACTCCTTGACTTGCAAGCATGCTTTCAGTCTTTGGTGTTTGCAAGATGATGAAGCACATTGAAGCCCAAATGTTTTGCAGGAGGCGCTGAAGCAGATGGGAGACTCTTGGACTGGAGTTGTATTCTTGGCAGATGGGTGGATGGGGGATCTCCTGATCTTGGCATCTTTTTGGAAGACCATGAGACGGCAACCTGCCTTCGTCGCCACCTTGACCCCGTCAGGAATGGCATGGCAAGAGCGCAGGACAGATACTGCTGCGTTGGGCAGTGCAGCCAGGAGTCTCAGGAGTGAATCTTCTGAAAGACTGAGATTCCTTTTTCATTCCTTTCCAACACTGACACTGTCTCAATGGGTGGCTCGGTCTCTTTTCTCCATCGATTCTCTCTCACATTCTGCCCGGTCTGTCTAAGGCAGAACGTGAGCGTCATTCCGGGCACCTCAAATCCGAAGCATCAGGCTGCGCCTTGGATTTCCATTTAGTTCTTCTTTGGGAAGGGCTCCTTGCACCACCTTAGGTCTGAGTTGAAGGCGCCCACGCCCCCCCGGAGCAACGTCAGATTCCAATCCAGAATCCCTGGGTGTTGCGTTCGTTGCGAACGACAAACGCTGCGAAGGAGTGAACGTCATAGCTACTAAAACTCGAGTACGCAGAAAGTCATGGGTACGCAATTGCTAAGGATGAAAGCCTTTGTACATGACAGTGTTTAATGGTTGATTCACGTTGATTCTGTTTCTTTCCAAAGCAGTCAAGTTGGGCATGTTGCATGCAGCTCGATGTTTCAAGCATTTTTTCCACGCGGAACTTGCAAGGAAAACCTGGCGATCTTCGATTTTGAGCTTGGAAGTGGCAGACTTAGTGCCAGCTTTGAATTGACAAATATTCTGGGATCTGATCCCGTGACTTTTGAGGCCAAGAGATGGAGTTGTTGAACCACATTCCTGAGAGTGATCACATGCTGTATTTTGGTCATACACCAGACCAATTTCAGTGATACCTTCACCTTGACCTATCCCCCGGCTTGTCCAGTCCACTTGTCTTTGCTGAAGCCTAGTGTTTCAAGTTGGGCTGCGCAGCTGCAGTAGGATGTTGGAAGGTTATCTTTAGCCGAAAAGACAAGCAACGCAAAGACCTCGTGGTGCGTAAAGACCTCTTGCTTTTGCACAACATCAATTGCACTTCTTCTTTAGAAGCCACAGCTTCTTCTTCTTCTTCTTCTTCTTTAGAAGCCACGGCGCTTGCACCAAATCAATTTTGGCTTCTTCTGAAGCCACAGCTTTAGCCGTTTTTTTCACTGCCAGGCACCGTTCGAACTTGGCTGCGAACTGCCACCGGGGATGGCGGGTGCGCAAGATCAGTGGCCCCGCAGGTGCTCAGACGGATCTGACGTTCTTCAACAACTCGGCACATGCCTCCGGCTTTGGATGGCATTTGAAGCCACCTCATGCACCACCGACCCTGAACACCTTCAACAAGTTCACCGCCTTCCGCTGCAGCACTGGCATGTTCTACTACGGCACGGGCAACATCTTTCACGATGATCATCGCTTCATCGAATGCGGCACGGGGCATTTCATGAACCATTTGTCCAATGGCTTGCACACGGCGCCCTTCTATCACAACCTGGTCTTGGTGGGAAACATGGATCCGGAGGCCACCAGCTCGCGCATGGGCCGCGGAGTCCGGTCGGCCAAGGACAACGAGTACTTCTACATCTCGGGGGCCACGGTGATCAACTTGCACGACTCGGCGGCCTTTGAAGGATGCTTTGAGACCACGTGTACCATGAGATATGAACGGGTGACCTGATGAAAGAGGTTCTTTTTTGGGCGAAATGGCGAACATCCCACGAAATGTGAGAGGGGACCAAGCATTTTGCTTTTGAATGCTTTTGATACTTTTGATTCTTTCCTTTTTGCGTGAATGCCATGAATCCGCAAACACCAAAGATCAGGCGAACATGTTGTTATTGCAGCTTTTTTTTCTTCCGCAAAAACCAAACAGCCGAAGAAACGCCGAACTCCTTGTCTCGTGATTTACTCCGTGGATGCCACGAGACGAAACGAGCTCCGGTCGACGACCAGGTGAGATGGTTCAACTCCAGTCGTCGAACGTTCAGCTCCAGTGGCAAGATGGCGGGCATCTTCTGGGAGACCTGGTTTTGGCGAAAAAGGCTTAAGGGATCTTAAGGGGATTTTCATTTTCTGTATATATATATACATATAACGTAATTATATGGTAAAACTGGTCAAATCCCCCAGGGACCTTTTTCACTTTGTCCCGCTTTTCAGGAAGCAAATCTAAGGATATGGATGGTACTTTGACCGGATATCCCAATGGCTTTGTCTCCAAGTTCTACGACTTCAACACCTTCCCCCAGTGTCAAGTGGTGCCAGAGCACGTGAACGGCATCGTGTGCGGAGCCAGTGACGGATCAGTACGAGTGCGGCGCCTGAAGGTGGATGGGCAGGAGCCCTGGCAATTAGATGGGAAGAGGATGAATGTAAGGACGGATGTGGGCTTCGACCAGGTCGAATATGACTTCTTTAAGGTGAGAGGATGGGCCATTCCAATGCTGGAAAATGAAACTTATGACATCAAGGTAGATGATCCCAATGACTTTCAGAAGATCCAGCTGCAGTATTCTGAGAGGAATTATGTGATGGAGGAGCATGGATATCTCTACACCAAAATCCATCCGAAGTCGGAGGATATCCTACTGCACCTGAACTATACTGATTGGCGGGATCACTTTGATGCGACTCAAGGGTCAGTGGCTCAGACTTCTCTGCTGGGTTTGCTACCATGTCTTCTGGTTGGGTGACCCAGTCTTCCTGGTGGCTTCGGCTCAAGGCTTAGCTCGAACGGGTGGAGGAATCGGAACCTCGGAGACCCCCAGGTCACGCACTATTAGTACGTGGCTTGAGGTTGTGTAGATATGTGTTATCTAAGCTCCCTAAAAGTCCAAGACTCCAAGACCCAATTTGAAAGGGGACTTTCGGTCATGTCCATTCCATTGGTTTCTCCCCCTTCTCCCCTCCCCTGCCCTCCCCTGCCCTTCCCGGCCCTTTGGTCGCCATGGAGACGAAGCCGCTCCACCCCGGCCTGCGCTCCTTGCCGGTGCCGGGCGGCCAGCTCCTCCAGGGCGGCGCCGACGCGGTGCGCGCGGTGAAGGCCGACGCCCAGGCGACGGCGGCTCCGGCGCGGGGCGCGTGACCCGGCGGCGGACGGGAGACCCACTGGAAGGAGCATCGAACCAGCGACTCCGGGCGCCAGGGCCGTTTGAAGGTCCTCTTACATAAAACATCATACAATGACAAACAATACAAACCCCCGTGGTGGGGCCAAAGGCGCCCCCTTTCAGGGAAAAGGAAAAGCGTCCATGTCTATGTCTACAAGAAGCGAAGCCAATGACCTGGGTTTAATGGGATTGAATCGCTTCTTTTCTTCTCCAACCCCATTTTCAGCAGCATTTTCAGCAGGGCAGCAGCTTCTCATGCGCTGCTTTGCGACTGCGCACGGAGGTCATCGTGAATTGTGCACGGAGAACTGGCGAACCCAAGGTTGAGTCGCGCCCCGGCCAAGACATCTACTGGCTACCGATGACGGAGGCTAATATGCAGGACGCCTGCCGCTCCTACTTGGAAGAGTACGGGGAACGCCTTCTGGAACCTTGCCTCGGAAAGCATGTCTACAGACGGTTGATGAATCAATCACCCCCCCAAACCATGGGAGTCCAAAACCACTCCAGGCCAGGCCACCAGGACGTTGAAACGAATGATCCTCAGCAGTCTACATGACTCATCGGGTCTGGCGCGGTATGCTCTCACCGTCTCTCCCCGTCCCATGGTGTTTGCCGAGTCGAAGGTCCAGAGTCTGGTCGGTGCCAGTCATGGTGCGTCCGTCACGGAGAAGCAGCTTATTATCCTGGCAAGAGACCCCAAACAGTGTGTGTGAGGTCTAGAGGTGTAGTAGCAGAAAATCATTGGGGTGGTGACTGTTTTTTGGCCAATGTTCACGACAACAATTAAGGATTGTCTTTCTTGGGAGGGGCGAACAAACATCAGCGGGTGCCAACGGTGCCATCCAAAAGCACTGGCAAATGGAAGACTTCGGAAGAATGCAGGGTGGGTCGTTTTCTTGAGCCACACTCATCTTCTTTTGTATGACTGTATGATATAAGTGATTCAGGTGACTTTCCATGTGCATGTGTCGATTCGCGTACGCCACACCTGCGTCAACCCGCGGCCACCCGCCACACCCGGGCTGGCCACCGAGGAACACCTGCGATCCGGGCACCTCATTGCGGTGCATTGCGACTTGGTCGTTTGGTACCCAGACTCGGTTCGTTTGGGCCGTTCTCGAAGGACCCGGGACGGCAGTTCCGGTGCCGGACGAACGGAGGAAGGACGTTGGGGTGCCCCTGTCACATCCACTCACTTCTGGGGACCGAGAACCATTCCGTCGGAACCGCTGGTGGTGGGTTTTTTGGGGGGGCAAACCGCGACGGCGTACGACAGTGCGGCGTGAATGCCGGGACAGGCGCCGGTGTGCCGTGGGGACGGGTCGTTGAGGTCAAGAAGGACTGCATCGATCAGTGGAGATGGCCAAACAACTTCAAAGCCTTGCCAAGCTGAAGCTGGCCGAAGCTGGGGCTGGGGTCGATGCTGGCATTGGCATGGGCGCTCTGGAAGTGCTGCCAGAAGGTGTTCCTTGACTTCAGATCATGGATCCAAAGAAAGCTTTGATAGTTGTTTTTCTGGCGAGCTTCGCAACATCCTTCCAGTTTTCCAGGATGATGACGAGTCAGAAGAGCATTGACACCCCCGATGCGTCCAAACGATCGAGAGCACACTTCGCTTGATCGCTTTTTCTCGCTGGGCTGCTGCTTGGCAGCCGCTTGGCGGCAGCTTACCATGGAGGTCCCGGATGGTCCCGGACGCCCAGAAAAAAGAACAACGAGAGCTGGCCAGGGGTGGAAGACACCCGTGGCCCGGATGGTCCTCGACGGCGCGACGACGAGACGTGTTGACGTGCTGCTTGGTCTCCGCAGAATGCCCACGTCTGACTGGCAGGTTGCGACGACAGGTCGGTCTGACTGGCAAAGACCAGACTGGCAGTCCATGAAGTCCCCTCTACTCTTTTGAAGGTCAAGTCCCCGCAGCTGCATTTTGCAGCAGCCGACCTGGTACAACGTCGGCCCGATTGTAAAGGCTTTTCTTTTTCGATTGTACCATCAATCGGCCCGATGACATCGTGATCGTTCGAACGTGGCGCAAAAGGAACTGTGAATAAGCAACAACATTCTGAGATGGAAGACGAAACAGAGTGTTCTTCAGCTGCTCCGCTCGCAGCCGCGACTCAGGGAGCGGTTGAGCCGACTGCCCAACAGCGATGATCCCTTCGGATCCTTCTCCATGATCCTGCGGTGCTGGACTGAGTTGCCATCCATTGGATCCATCGGCATGTCGATATCTTTTTCCAGAACTCCACGATTTCGGTTCAGCCGCGGGGGAAGTCCAGGTGGTTCTGGTTCGGAGCTGTTCAACGGTTTCGGTGCCAAAGACGGTGGTGATCTCTTTCAGTTTCATGTGGGGATGGCCCGAAAACGATGCCATGGGATCCCGCGGTGTAGCTGTGGGAACCTGGGCACCTCTTTTAGTTCGGGTAGCCCACGATGGGCACACTGGGAAGGATGTAACCATGTCTGGCAGTGCATTCTCATGTTTCTGTCGGAAAGAAAAACAAAGACCCGGGCTTTTCGGTGCCATGGCTCCACCGACCATGTCACATCCGTTCAGTCCGGACCGTCTCGCCCATGTCGTCCATCGTGCATTCGTGTGAGACTGGCTCGCCTGACTGGCTCGCGTGACCCGAGGGTAGCGTCTTTTTGAGGCAAGACCAGTGTGACGAGTTCAATTTGACGGATTCGGCCGCAGAGAAATGTGCCTTGGCAACAGCAACCTGGTAGGTCCTGGTAGGTGGTTTGAGCATGTTTGAGCATGTTTGAGCAGCCCACTCTTTTTCCAGAGTCAGACTGTGGAGGTGGTGTGTATGTGAATGACACCGGGCTTGAGCTCAAGGTGGGCGATTGTCCAAAGACTTAAGGATGCTCCATTTCCTGATGCCTTTGTTGTGAAATGACATGCTGATTTCATGACATGACATGGCCCGGCTCTTTTTTAGGCCGTGAACTGGCCCAAGCTTGAAGACCAGGCCCCTCTTGAGTGGATCCCGGCGCTTGGCCTGTTTCAGGGGATCTTTCTTGAGCAGTTTGAGCCATGGGAACCTGGGGCGCGGCTGGTTTAGAAGTCTGGACTCGTGACGCAGAGGCGGGGTGGAGTGGAAGCAGCGGGGATGCGGGCTGATTCCTGAAGGAGGATGATGGATGTGGGTCATGACAGAATCGGAGACCTTGATTGACCTATCTGGAAAGTCAAGCTACATGGTGGACCAGGGCTGATTGAGCTCCAGGTGTTGATCCATCCCCATGTGATGTGGATGCCTTCGGTCAAAGATGGATGGGAAAAGTCAGAACCCGACGTCGCCCTGGTGAAGCTGCTCCCGCCTTCCTTCAACTGCTTTTGATCTATGATGATACATGCGTCAAGTGATCATGTAGACTGTAACAGACTGTTGATGAAGAATCCCCCCTCCGATTTGGAGTGTAAAACTTCTTGATAAAATCAGCGTCAGCGATTCATCAACAGTCGCCCTAAGATTCCTGGACATATTGATATTACTAATTAAGGATTGTACCATCCCCCTTAGAATATCCACTACAAAGATGGATGGTATTGTTCCATCGTCTCCATGAACTTGAAGGGGGATCTGGTACCAAGCCCCAGGTCCACCGACCTCCGCCTCGCGCGGACCGGACCGGCCGCTTCGGGCCCTTCGGGTCCGGACCGGACTGGCCAGGCGGCTCGGTCGCGACCGATGGAAAGAACAGCAGGCGGCGATGGGCGTCGAGCCGTTCGGATGCGGACGCGTCGTGTGGAGCGACCGAGGACGGCGCTTGCAGACATGAATGAAGAAGACACACACACACAGACATTAGTAGATGTATATGAGCCACGGTCAAAACATGCGAAGACCACTTTAGTAAAGAGGGGTAGGTTTGTGCACAAAACCCTGCAAACGATAAGGTCCACCTCAAAACCGATAACCCCAGCGCTGTATATGGTCATAAGTATGCGACGAACTCAAAACGCTGTAAAACGATAAGGTCCACCTCAAAACCGATGACGTCCATTTTTTAGCTGAAGAAGAATAAGGAGTTTTGACCGTCCCTCATATATATATATATATATAGATAGACAGACACAGACAAACAACATCAGATGATATAGCATATTTGTATGTCTTCATAATAGGTCTTGGGGCACCCCAAAATCTGCATGAGAGAGGTACCCAATTGCACTGGTTCCTTCATACTTGGCTTCTGGCCACCCCTGGTGCGAGTCATGTCGCTTGATCGCGCAGGTGGCATCGAAGGAGGACGGCAGATGGGTTTCACCTCGCGACGCGAGTGGTGCGACGCGGTCCTTTGTTAAATATCGGGATTTGAGGGTTGCTAGAGCAACTGGGATCTTCAGCAAGGTCCTCCTAGAGCAACTGTGAACCCTTCGTGTCGGTCTGTTTGAGTCTTTCGTGTCGGTCTGCAACATTTGTGTCTCTTCAAGACGATCTGTTTGTGAACTCCGGGGGGGTTGTTAGGGACGGCGATGGGAGACTCCCATGGCTTCTCTGTTTCCAGAAGACTTTTTCCTGACGCGGTGGCCACACATCTCTCAAGGCCTCGATCTTGTTGGAAGATGCTCCGATGCCGGAGCACTGCGAGCGAGTCTCCAAGCAATCTCTGACGACTCAAACTTCCATGCAGCAAGACATGGGAAGCCTGACTTTGAAGCGGTCTTGGATGATATTCCAGAGTCTGAGCACTTTTTCGCCACACTCCTTCCAAAGATGGTCCAATTGGTACAAGATGCACCAAAGAGGTTCTCCTCCAAGTGCGTGCCTTTGTTGGTACAGGGCATTGCAGAGCATGTTTTCTTGACTTATGAGGAAGTTGCAACCCTGCTAGCGATGGCTTTCTTCGGTCTACTTCCAAACAATGCCAGCATAAGTCCTCTCTATTTCCCCAAAGACGGATGTGCTTTTCCTCCGAATACTGAAAAGCTCCGATGCTTCCTGAGCTACTTTGAGGATATCACGAGTGATTCCAGTGCCATTTTCACGACACCCTCTACAGCCTCCGGGGGCATGCGAGTCACTCGTGCTCTACTTGGAGCAGATACGACGACTCTTCAGGAACTTGAAACGAACACCTGCCGCTTGTGCCAGGTGATTCCACATGACTTGCGAACGCCCATCAGTCAGTCTTCAGCTCTGCTGCACGTGGATTTTGCGAATGCCCGTGTGGGTGGTGGCATTTTCTTAAACGCCCCAGGTGCCACAGCGCAAGAGGAGATCACGTTTGCGACTCATCCAGAGTTGTGTATCGCCACAGTTCTTTGCGACGTCTTGCGAGACGACGAAGCGCTCTTGATTCAGGGAGCCAGACACTTTTGTCGACACGCTGGATTTCTTGATACCTTCTCTTTCACGGGGAAAGTACATCCTTCTGAGCCAGACTTCAAGAATGCTGCAGTGCAAGTGGTGATTGACGCAAAGATGTATGATGGTGGGGGCATTGGAAGGCCTTACAGGTATGACTACAAGCTCCTTAAGCGAATAAGCTGTTTCGATTGGTTTTGTGCACGTGGGTTTCATTGCTCCGGAGTCTCCACATAGGAACAGGACCTCATATTAGTTCATGTGATATTTCTGCATGACAAAAACACCAGAACCTATTTGAAGCCTCTTTGTTGAGGCTTCAAGTGGAAGATGCTGCACGAGATATCTACAAAGCGCTCTGCGGCTTTCAGGCAGCTTCTTTGCAGCCTGAACTGGGAAGAAGCTGCGCCACTGGGAATTGGGGCTGTGGCGCGTTCGGAGGCTCTGCGGCGGTGAAGCTCTTCATCCAATGGATTGCAGCAAGTTTAGCAGGCCTGCAGACGCTGGAGTACTATCCGTGGGATGATCGAGTCATTTTTCAGCGTTGACCTCAGTTGAAACACGTTCTGACGACTGACAACCTGTGTTTTCTTATGAACAACAAGACTATCACAAGGTTTGGAAAGGTATTCCACCATGGCACCTCAATGCTGTTTCTCAGAATGACGTTGTCCATATTTTCATGTTGCGTGAGCGCAAGCTGTATATAAGTAGCTGGAGTAGGCCGCAGTGAGTTCCGCAGATGCTATAATACATTTACACATGTAGTGTAAGTTGTGACAGTTGCGACAAGCCAAGTGCCGTTCGCACCATGGCTAGCATGACTCACAAGGCTTTCCTCCTTCCCTTTGATTCTGCATGTGGCACGGCCGTTGAGGTTCTTGGTGGATGCTGCGGCGCTGGTTGCTGAAGCCACAGTTGGGCAGCTGTGTCGGGCCCTTCGAAGGGCAGCTGAACTTCAGAGCGAGCTAGAGAATGAGGTCACCTGGCATTGAACACATTTATCTATAGATGATCTAAACTATCAGAGATTCCTGGGATGAATACTCACTTCAACCCCACTTCACACCTCCTCCCATCTCCCCCAAAATCAGGTCCAGCGCTACGAAGAGGATGGCGCCGAGTTCCTCCGCGTGGTCCTGCGAGAGCTGCATTCGGGGACTGGCCGCTGAGCCGGTCCGAGTGACACGGCCTCCGCCACCGCTGCAGCCAGCGGACCTCGTCCGGACCTGGGCCGACCGACCGACCGAAACGGCGGGTGGTGCGTTCGGGTCGAGCGTTCGGCTGACCGGCGGGGGCGGGACGAAAGGGAGAGGGTGGGCGGGACGCCCGCGCTGGTGCACCATGTGCCGAGAGAGGAGAGAGAAGAAGCTGGAGAAGTGATCTGTCGACATCTCGATCGACCCTTTGCGACGGAAAGACCTGGTGTGAACCAGCTGGGGCGAAAGCAGCTGCGGCGAAACAGTGGGCGCGGAGGGAGAGGGCTTGCTCTGTCCCGAAGGTTGTGTGTTCCGATGCAGAGCCGCTGCGTCATGCGGATGTTCAAAAGCACACTCTTAGGTGGGAGGCCGCTTCTCACCCGGAGATCGGAGGGGCTCCTGATATGCGGTCATCAGAGGTCTGAAGGATGGATCACATCAAGGATTTCCAGCCACAAGACGGATCTCAAAGTTTGGCAGTCAGATGCTTTCTTGAAACAAACACATCCACTTGACTCCATGAAGAACGGTTGCTCATTTCATCGTCCCTACGCTCGCTTTGCCTCACCCGCACTCGGACGGCCACAGTCGCGGGGGTGTCTGCGGTTTTTGCAGGACTGCTTGCTGGAGATCGGGAGCCAGCTGCCATGAGGCCCGGGGGCTAGCAGGTTGGAGCGGGGGCCCTGACAGAACTTCGGAGTTGCCCACGGTTCCGTGCCGCCCAGCCTCCCCAAGCCACGGTGGGGGGGTCTCAGCGTGCGCAGCTGATCTCGCGAGGTCAGAGACCAACTTTGATCTGGACATGAAGATGAAAGGCGGCCGGCTTTTTTTGTTGATGGTTTTTGGTACGTTGCCTTTTTGCGCGTGGCGCTGGAAGTTGTTCAAGTCCAAGACACCTAAAGTGCAATTAAGTAAATATTTGACTTTTTCAAGAGCTGGGTGACCTGGGTGCAAGATAGGGGTTGTGTCAGTTTCTCTGTTTGTTTTGCTGGGGGTGTTTGTTTGTGCTCCATGGGCCTTTGAACCTTTGCTCATATTCAATGGCACATTCGATAGATGGCTTGAAAACGCCCTTGGCTGGTTGACTAATTAAAGGGCCCCCCCCCGGGTGTACTAAATCGACGTCTCTATTAAGCCTCCAGTCAGAAAGACCAAGCCATGCATGTCTCAGCCTAGCGAAGCTGCGGCAAGGTTGAAACTGGGGGCAAAAAGACGATATATAGAACAGTCCTGGGACATGATCGCTGGTTGAAGCCTAGAGTTGACCAGCATATCGGAGAGAAGGACGAGGACAAAGAGGATAAGCAAGACGAAGAGGACCAACT